GACATTCGAGAGATCCTCCGTAATACTTACCGAGTAGCTATTACTATCGATAGCTAGTTAAGCCGGACTATAAGAGCCTCCTTCCTCTCGATTATACTATACTTTATTAATTCGGATTAGAAACTCTAGGAACTTATAATCGGATTCCCTAAAATTCTAGGTTCCTATACTAGTAAGGATATAGCGAAGCTTATCTATACGGTAATAGATAGGGTTAGCGTAATAACGAAACTGATCTCGATTACTACGGACAACGCTAGTAATAATCGAATATTATATAAGGCGTTGTATATACAATTCACTTATATATGTCTTTAAAATTACTAATTGTATCGATAGGGTCGAGTACGTAGAGGAGATTATAAGGTCTATAATTTAGCTTAATCTTCCGAATATTAAGCTCGCTACGATTCCGGATACGCACGATAATACGTACGATAATAACGATAAAGAGGAGCCTATTAATAGCCCTAGCCCTATTGAATCGGAGCCGACGTCGTTACTAGTTATATCCCTATAGAAGTTTCCCTACCTCGCTTATACAGTTTAAATCGCGATCCGAGCCCTCTTTAAGACGCTTAAAATTGCACTATTAAACGACGACTAATAGAAGATCCTAGATAAGGATAAAGTATAGTCGAAAGTCGAGAAACTTATTATAGTAATAAGACAGGATAAGGTAGAGAGCCTCGCTCTCGTTTTGTATAAGGTATAACTTTTGTCCGTAGCCGGCACCTATAGCCGGCAACCTAGTATAGTTCTAACTCTTTTTCTCTAGCTTCGTCGTCTAGTAATATATACGAACTCGAGCTTATAGAGATATAACCGATTCGAGGCTATTTAAAAGAACCTAATCGAGCGCCCTAAAACCGATGCCTAGAATATCGCATAGAATAAGCGATAGCAAAAGCGGCCTCCTTAGCGCCTACTCCGTTTTACCTAAGACGTTAAGACCCGGTTCGATTCGACTTTCTATATAGTTACGAGGGGATATACTTTACGTACCGCTCTTAAGATCTATTAGAGTTCTAAGGGTATTAAGTAGCTCGGCCTTACCGCCGCCGAATAGCGCTAAGCAGAGTATCTCGTCGATATTAGTAAGCATTACGCGAAGGTTACTACTACGATTAGAAGAACCCGAGGACCGACGATCTACCTTATCTTTACGTACTATAACTAGCTCTTTAATAAGCTCGAGGAAACCGTAGCTAAGCTAGCTAAGAAAAGCGTTCCCTAGAAAGTAGCTATAACGAAAGCTATAGATACCTCCTATACTAAGTTATATAAATATTATAGTACTACCTTTAAGTCGTTCGGGGATATCTATAGCGTTACGTACTTGCTTAACCTAGTAGAAAAGGATATATACTAGTAGAGGCTGGAATAGAAGGCGGACGAGGTATAGCCGAAGCATTACTAGACTATTCTAGAAAAGATATTCTACGAGCGTCGGAAAGAAACTAGTCTAGATACAGCTCCTATAAAGAAAAAGAAGGTTTAGAAGACTCCGATATTATATCTATTTCGTAGGTAGGAAGTAGAGGTAGAAGAAGAAGCAACTACTAAAGTAAATAAAGAAGAGTTCGATCTCTATCGGTGCGCGAGTAAGTATAAACCCGTAGGCTCGGAAAGAGGGCTAATAATCTCTAGATCTTACCGGTCTTCTAGACGAATTCGGAGACGATATTCTCGCTATATAGTAGCGGTTAGAGCCTAAGTTTCTAACGATAGCGTCGGTCGCTCGGGACGTCCTCGCTATTCCGAGCGTAGATATAGGCTATAAGAGGTCTTTTAGTATCGCTCGTTACTAGGGCCGCTTTAATCGAATATACTCGCCTACTACCTTCGAATCTATTATAGTATTCCGATACTATCTCCTCTACTAGAATCGCTAAGGTAGGTTACTAAAGATTATACTAAAGGAGTTAATCGAGGAATTAGAAAACCTTAAGATCGAAGAAACCTAGGAGCGCGAAGAGAATACGAAATTTAGTCTAAGCGAAACCCTAATTAGCGATAACGAAGAGGAGGAGGGCGGAGGTAGAAGGCGATACCGGGTCGAGAAGCGGAAATATATATAGGCTTAGAGTAGCTTTAAGGAGACGAAGCGTTTACGTATAAGGTAATATAGCCGGCGTATATAGCCGGTATATATCCGAAATATATTTCGAATTCCTAGGACCTAAACAGACTAGTTGCTATAGCAACCGACCCCGCTTACCTACGGACTATTTCTAATTCTCTATTCGCTCTTCCTCTCCTTCTTCCCTTTCCCTATATTCTTAAAGATAAATATACCTTAAGGATTCGGCTCTTCGGGCCTTCCTAAGCCGGCTACCTCCCCTTCCTTAAGCTACTATCCTTTATTCGAATCTAACGATAACCTACTAAGGCGGTTTAATAGAAGACTATTTGTTCTAGAAGGCAAGAAGCATTAATGTCTCCTTACGATTATATGCTTATTAATTTTCTAGGTCCTACTAATATACACTCGTCGCCTAAACGCGTAGATAAATATCTTTAGAGGCTAAAGGGTAAGGATAAAGCAAGCTAAGTATAGGGAGACCGTAGCGAGAACGAGATATCGGAAGAGCAAGGCTCTCCGTAGTATATACGAAGGAAGGGGGTTCCTCGGAAAATAGTACTAAAAAACAAGAAGGCTATAGGTAGATAGGAGAAGGCTAAAAAGAGTAGACGGACGAAGACTATCGCGAAGAAAAGTTATCTTTCTATTAAAAGAAAGGGAACAAGGTAGGACTCGACGATAAAGAAGCGGCGCTTTAAACTAGGTACTATTACCCTTCGCTAGATCCGGCTTTTCTAAAACAAAAGAGGGACCGAGCTTTTAATCCCTAAGACTCCCTTCTAGCGACTCGTCCGAGAAATTATATTAGATTTTTAGTCTAGTATACGATTTACGGCTAAGGCGATTAGTGCTCTTTAGGAAGCTACGGAGGCATTTCTCGTAACCGAGCTTAAGCTTTTAAACCTCCTTGCTATCTATACGAAGCGGGTTACTCTTTAAAATAAAGATGTATAGCTTCTAGCTAAAATTCAGCGTCGGTTTATAGCGGATTAGTTAGAAATTGTATTTAGTCGTTAGATTAACCTAGGCGGAGGCCTATTTTCGCATCCTTTTACCGGCTATAGGTGCCGGCTATATTTCTAATTTTATCTCCGCGCCGTCCCTAAATCTAAGGTACGAAGTAGAAACCTAGCGCTCTATATTTACCCGGCTATTATAGAGACGAGCTATATTTAGATTAGTTTCTTCGTATATCGCGACCTAGCGAGTAGTAAGCGAAAGGGCGATAGAACGTTTATAATACGTCTCTATTTAGACCTAAAACATAAAGGTCCTAAGGAGCCCTAGTATCCTAACTATAAGGAGATTCTTTAGTATTAGCACTTTAATCCTCTATACTACGAGGTAGATAGCAAGCCTATAAGAGAGAAACTTTAACGAGAAATTCTCTATAATACGTAGCGCTATTGTATAGCTATAGATACGTACTAAGTCCGGCAACTCGAAGAAGAATTAAGATAGCGTATTAGCGACCGAGGAGGAGATCGATAGTGTACTAGTAAAGTCGAGGTCTTATAAGCGAAGTGTGGGATAATATAGGCTCTTAGTCGTATAGAGTAACGTACTATATAAATAACTAGGCGTACTACTCTTATTTACTTACGACCTATATCCTAGGATGCTCTTCTCGTACTTTTTATACTCTTTTCTAATACCTTACCTATAATCGCTCCGCGATAACCGAGTAAATATAAGCTATAGGATTTCCGCTCGGTACCTTAGCCTTCGAGATACGGCGGAGTTGATTCTCTATAATACGTAGCGCTATTATGTGGCTGTAGATACGTACTAAGTCCGGTAACTCGAAGAAGAATTAAGATAGCGTATTAGCGACCGAGGAGGAGATCGATAGTATACTAGTAGAGTCGAGGTCTTATAAGCAAAGCATAAGATAATATAGGCTCTTAGTCGTATAGAGTAACGTACTATATAAATAACTAGGCGTGCTACTCTTATTTACTTACGACCTATATCCTAGGATACTCTTCTCGTACTTTTTATACTCTTTTCTAATACCTTTGATAGGGCTAAAGAGGCTACACGTAATTAGTATATAACTAGGCCAAGTGAAGCTAGGGTCTTAGTGCCTTAGGCAGAGCTTGGCGCTTAGTAATAGGCTAACTTGCCTGCCTTCCTCCCTCTCTTTCGAGCTCCTTATCGAATACTACTCGTACCTACTACTACCCTATCTACCTACTAATATACCCTTCTTATACAGTATTCGATCCACCCTTTAAGGGTAGCAGCTAGATAGTTCTTATTTCAAGCTTTTAGCGGTATAGCTACGAACAAGACTAATCTAACTATATTACGCCCGAAGAACGGGACCTATACGTACTATTCTATCGAAACAACCGTACTAATTATTAAGCAAGGCCTTCTACACGGCCTATTACACTAAGTCAATCGTACTAGACTAATATCTACTAATTCCGCTATATCCGCATCTTAGGGGCTAATAATACATTATTAGTATTACCCCTTATAATAGCCGGTTTATTACGACATAACAACCGTGCTACCGCTAGCAGCGCTAGCAACGACAACGCTAGTAGCACAGTGCCTACTAAAGTGCCTACTAAGGCTCCTGCTAAAGTGCCTCCTACTAAAGGGCCTGCTACTAAGCCTGCTACTAAGCCTGCTAAAGAACCTATAATTCTAGGCGACGACCTAGAATTGCCTATCGACGACATTCTTAACAATATTATTAACCGTCGATATAGCTAACTAGCCTTTAGGCCCTAACTAGTAGGGAGACTCTAAGAAGCTACCTAAAACAGGCTTACTACCTTGCGTTAGGAACAATAGCTAAAGGATAATCTCCTCGAGATTCGCCGCCTATAGGAAGCCCTAATAACTAATACTAAGCCGACAGTAGGGCCTTCCTTACTATTAGTCCTAGTCTAGAAGAAAGATGCTAAACTTAAGGACTGTACCGTGTTTAATAGCTCTAGCCGTAAGCAGTACAATAATTATATACGTAATTGTAAATTAAACTAGCGGAATGCACTAAGGGCCCTGCTAGATAACTACTTATTAGTCGTCCACGCTATATAGTACATTAATAGCGACCTAAAGCGTACCTAGGATAACTATTTTGAATCCCTTAACGATTAGACCGCTATTTAATAGTAGGACTACAAGACTATTATACTAAACACCCTTAGCAACCCTATATTACGCTAGTAGTACGCCTAAGATTAATATCTACGTACTAAACAAAAGGCCGACTAAACCTCTCGATCCTTCGAGGCCTATCTAAAGACCCTTAAGGACGATTTGCCCCCTAAGACCGACTCTATCTAGATATCCGAAATACGCCCCAAATTGCGATAGGAATTAGTCCTTAAATTGGACCGCCGCCGTATGTTTAAACAGGCCAACCTAATACGTATCTAATTTATAGTCGAGGTAGAAATAGCTAAACGAGCTATCTAGCTCTAGCAACGACTAGAATTAAGGATCCGACCTACTAGCAACCGTAGCAACCGTAGCCGCGGAGGAAACTAAGGTTCCTACTAAGACAACAATGCTAATAATAGGAACAGTAACGATCGTAGAAGAGGCCGTAGCCGGCGGCTATATAGAGGAGGCCGCGATAGGGGCCGTAGAAGGGGCTCGTATCCCTATAATACTAACTGCTCGACTAATAATAGTAGTAATAACAGCTACGGCAGTCTACTAACCGGATTGAAGTGCTTCAATTGTAATAGTACTAGCTATCTACTAGGCTAATACGACAAACCTAAGGACTAGGCCCGAATCGACCGTACTACCGCTAAGTACTAAAAGCACCTCTTAGCAGCTAACGCTACCCCTATAGGCTAACCTTCGAAAAAAGAGTAAGCGCCGTACTAACTGTTAGCCTCGTGCGGCGTAAGACTATCGACATTATGCTAGCTATTATACGTACCTGTCTCCTATCTAGGCCCGATACTAACTATAAGGCAAAGGTTATACTAGACCCTAGAAATTTAGTTAGCGCCCTTATTAGCTATCGCCTAGCTAAGCAATTAGACCTTCGACAACTGCCGAGGACTAACCTACTAACCCTTGCTTGGTTTAATAACGCTCGGTACTTAACCTATAAAGCCTACTATATTCCTATAGTTCTAAAAGACGACCTCGGAAATAAACGCCTACTAAACTTCACTACCTACGCAATAGATATAGACAGCCTCCTATCCGATATTGTTATTAGCAACCCTGTTCTTAAGTACTATACTATAGTTATAGACTTAGGCAGTTAATAATAGCGATTTAGAATCGCTAGAAAAGAGGACATTAAATACATTAATATTAGCGAGTGCCCTAATAATATTAGGGTCCTATTTATTAGCAACCTAACCCTAGCTAATCCGACGGCCGACCTGCTCGGTAGTAATAACGATAAACCTGTGCCCCCTAATGATCCTAATTAGCTTGCTCGCATACTAGAGCCTATCCGAGAGACCTATATTAATATGTTTAAACACTACCTAGCGTCGATATTGCCTATGTTTAAAGAGACGGATTATAAGATTAATATTATAGAGGGCAAGGAGGTTCCTTTTAGCCCCCTCTATAACCTTAGTAAACGAGAGCTTGCTATATTGCGTAAGTATCTAGAGGAAAACCTAGCTAATAGCCGGATACGATATAGTAACAGCCCTACTAGTGCACCTATCCTGTTCGTACTAAAGAAGGATAGTAGCCTACGTCTATATGTTAATTACCGTAGGCTTAATGCTGTTACTATTAAAGACCGCTATCTACTTCCGCTTATTAATAAGACCCTCGATCGCCTTTCTAGTGCTTACTTCTATACTATACTAGACATTAAGGATGCGTACTATCGTATCCGCATTCGTAAGGGCGACGAATAGAAAACGGCCTTCCGTACTCGCTATAGCTATTTCGAGTACTTAGTTATACTATTCGGCTTAGCTAATGCCCCTGCAACATTCTAGTCCTATATTAATCGAGCCCTTTTAGGCCTATTAGACTACCTCTATATAGTTTACCTAGATAACATCCTAGTTTATATACACTCCCCTAACATTGCGGAGTACTAGGCTATAGTCTATAAGGTGCTCGATCGCCTACGAGCCTATAGCTTATATTACAAGCCTTCTAAATGTACCTTTGCTACTAAAGAGGTGTTATTCCTCGGCTTCCTCGTATTAACTAAGGGTGTTAAGGCTAATCCTAATCGAATTAAGACTATTACTAAATAGCTAATACCTACTAGTATTAAAGAGCTTTAATTATTCCTAGGTTTTGCTAACTTCTACCGTCGATTTATCGAAGGTTACTCGCGGCACGTAATGCTACTAACTGAACTTACTAAAACTAAGGCTAACCTAACTAGAGAGTTTAAATAGACTAACAGAGCACAAGCCGCTTTTAACGGTTTAAAGAAGCGCTTTACTAAAGTCCCCTTATTGCACTATTTCGTACTAAGCAAACAGATCCGTATTAAGACTAACGCTTCCTAGTTCGCTGTATTAGCTATTATATTACAATAGGCTAATAACAATTACTAGCACCTAATCGCCTTCTTTTTACGGAAGATAATCGATATAGAACGTCGATACGAGACCTACGAGCAAGAGCTCCTAGCAATCGTAGAAGCCTTTAAGCACTAGCGCTACTATCTTAATAGTGCATAGCACACTATTTAGGTCTATACGGACTATAACAACCTACGTAGGATTACGAAGGTTACTAGGGTTATAGGTCGATAGGCTAGATAGGCCGTCTACCTCGCTAGGTTTGATTTTAATATATTATATCGGCTAGGCGTAAGCAACCCTACTAATAGCCTATCGAGGCGACCTAATTACGATAGCGAAACCTAACACATTAATTCTTTGTTTCTAACCCTGCAGTATAAGATTGCTATAGCCCGTATTGTTAATAAGTACGCGTAGGATAAGCGGCTTACCGGACTCCGCGACAGCTTAAAGTATATTAATGCTCTTACTGTATTAATAGTGCGTATTAAGGCAAGAGCTAAGGATACAGATAGGAGAAGTTATAATAACTCCCTAGTCGATATCGCTATATATAGTAATAGCGATTAAAGCACTAATGCAGTTAATCCGGCTGCTAGTACTATTAGATACATATAATGCGTACCTCGTTTAATAGCGAGGGTGCTATTAAATAACCTTGCAAATAGGGATAGTTAATCGTTTATAGATAAGCTATTACAGGCTTAGCAGAGGGACGCCTTTGCTACTAAACGTATCGATAAGCTTATAAGTAGGCGAAAGACTCGATCTAGTAAGAGTAACTAGTCGATCGATAATAAAGGTTATTTAAAGTTTAAGGGTAGATACTATGTCCCCGCTAAACATTCGATCCGATAAGAACTTCTTAAGCGACACTATAATAGTGAGCTTGCCGGTTACTATAGTATAGAGAGGTCGCACGAGCTACTATCGCGTACATACTACTAGCTAAATAGTAAGCGGGATATAAAGGACTACGTAAACACGTATACTGTATAATAACGTGTTAAGGTACTAAAGCATTAGCCTTTTAGCGAGTTGTCCTTATTGCCAATCCCTTACAAGCTATTTACAGAGCTTATAATAGATTTTATTACAGGTCTTCCCCCTACTAAGCGAAGAGGAAGCAAAGATATCTTTAACGCTATCCTAGTCGTTATAGACCGGTTTACTAAGGGCGCTCGATATATCCCGGCGCGGAAAGATTAGACTGCTATTAATATAGCAGAAGCGCTATAGAATAACATCTTCTATACCTATTAGGGGACCCCTAAAGGGATAGTCTCTAACCGAGGCTCGATATTCACATCTTATTATTAGAGTAAGATTTGCCTATAGCTAAGACTCAAGCATCGCCTGTCTATAGTATTCTACCTACAAATAGATAGTCAAACCGAAAGGCAGAATGCTACGCTATAGCAGTACCTACGTAGCTACATTAATAAGAACCCTAATAACTAGGTCAATCTCCTATAACTAGCCGAATTCGTATATAACAATAGTGTCTACTTATCTACTAAGGTGTTACCTTATTTCGCTATAATAGGCTAGAACGCTACTATGCTACAAGACCCCCTACCGCTCGAGGCCGAGCGTAAGGAAAGGGAAGCGTATTAAGTACTAACCCCTAAAACACTAGCGGCTATTAAGAGGGTTTAGAAGATGCGAGAAATTCACGCTAAGATAGCTAACAAACTAGCAAAGGCCTAGGCCTATTAGAAGGCCTACTACGACAAACACTATACGCTAATAACCTTCAAGCAAGGTAATATAGTTATGCTTAGTATAAAGAGTCTCCGCATTCGTAAATACCTATTACCTAATAGCAAAACACGCCCTAAACTAGTACTAAGGTACATTAGCCTATTCCGTATTCGGGAAGTTAAGGGCTCTTCCGCATAGGCCTATTAGTTATAGCTCCCACTATACTACACTATCTATAATACCTTCTATATCTCCCTCCTTAAACTATACTACTACCGCGGAGACTCTAATAAAGAAGCCCCTACTAAACATAAAGAGATACTAGCTAACGGTAAAGAGCTATAGTCTATAGAACGTATTCTAAAGCACCGGACTAGGCAAGGCAAAAAGGAGTACCTCCTAAGATAGTAAGGCTATTTACCTAAATAGGACTTATAGGAGGCTAAAGACTCGTTTAAGAATATAACTAAGTTGTTAGATAAGTATTAGACTAGCGTAAAGAACACGAAGAAGGCTAAGAGCTTATAATACCTATAATGTCGCTAGGGATTAATGCTACCCCCGGGGTGCTATTAGCTAACTAATTAGAGGCAAGCAATTATTAGTAACAAAAGACAATAAGACTATACTACTATAGAATCTACCTCTTTACTAGCGCACCCTATAAGACCCTTCTCTTAGCGCCCCCTCTTATTCCTTTATTCTATAGAGGCCCTAAGGCCTAGTCGGTCGACGGCGCGCGCGCGTATAAATACTAGCGATAATAATAATAACGGCGTTACGCCTATACTAAAGGGCGGCACGGCCGGCGCGGCTATATTAGTAACAGTATTGCGGAGTGTATTGCTGTTTAAGAAAGGAAGGATACAGCTATGTTAGTAACGGTATTGCCGAGTTGTTGCTAGTTAAAGAAGGAAATTAGAAGAAGGTAAAGTTAGCGCTAAGACGACTAGCGCCGCTATTATCAAACATTACCTACTATTGCTACTACACTTGTAAAGACAACCTTACCTATACTACGAGCCTAAGGCACCTTTAATCAAACTTTAATTAAAACTTTAAGGCTAAGTTAAAACTTTGAGCCGCCTAAAAGACTAAGCGACTAATAGACTAACTAAGGGCAAAACTATAGAGCTAAGCTAGCTAGGGTCGATCTTGCGGACAATAGGTTACTCCTCGATCTTTCCGACCCTTTAAGCGAGGCGAACCTCTACTACTACACTTATAATAGCCTTTACTTATAGAAACTAGACGAGCTGTGTTTTTTAAAAAGATAAGATAAGATTGACACTTAAAGGCTGCTAAACCTAGCTAATTAGGGCTAGCGAAACTACGAATAATAAGAATAATAACCCTCGGAAGCGGACAAACCCTCGGAAGCGGACATTGCTAGGTCTTTTAAGAGTAGACGCAAAGAACTCGGTACGACATTACTTAGAGCGGAGGCAGGGCTGCAATACCTCGTACGTCTACCTATTATAGTAGGGAAGACGCGCTCGTATTATAATTAGTCGAAGGCCCTTAATTCTTATAGATATATATTACTTTATAGTTTATTATATATAGGGATAGCGTAGTTAGAGTTAGACATTGTACTATATTAGAGGTAAGGTTTAACATAGTTACATAATTAGGTAGTTAAGTGTTTAATTTAGCGCGGGCTAAGCAGCTTATTAGACTTGCTAAGTTAGCGGTAATAGAGGTCGTAGAATATAGATAGGCTACGAGGGCGCGGCCTTTAGAAGGGAAGCGTATATTAGGGCTAAAGAGGCTATACGTAATTGGCATATAACTAGGCTAAGTAAAGCTAGGGTCTTAGTGCCTTAGGCAGAGCTTAGCGCTTAGCAATAGGCTAACTTGCCTGCCTTCCTCCCTCTCCTCCGAGCTCCTTATCGAATACTACTCGTACCTACTACTACCCTATCTACCTACTAATATACCCTTCTTACAACCTTACCTATAAGCGCTCCGCGATAACCGAGTAAATATAAGCTATAGGGTTTCCGCTCGGTACCTTAGCCTCCGAGATAGAGCAGAGTTGAATTTAGAGCGATAGCCGGCACTCGTAGCCGGTATATAGAGACGGTAGTAGGCCTTTTCCTACTAAATAACTAGCTTGTTTAGTATAGCCTACCTAATATTTCTTATATTTACTAGCAATAGGCCTAGGTTACTTATAAGATTACTATAGCTAGTAAAGGCATTACTAAAGAATATCTATACTATAGTAGGATACTATTATTACGCCGGCTATTTATTAAAAGGAGGCTTTCGCCTATTACTATACCGGCTATATATACCGGCTGTATTTCAAAGTCTGCCGTACCTACCTTTTTTAGCCGTGCCTACCTTTTTTAGCCGTACCTGCCTTCTTTCCTTACTCTAACGTTACTATAATATAGGCTTGCGCGAAGCTTACTCTATTGCCTAGCGATACCGCGATACTACCGCTATATTTAACCTTCGTATTGATACCTATACCTCTACGCTCTATATCTACTACCTCCGTAATACCCTCGCTCCGCGCGCGCCTTCGTATACCTTCGTAACGCACTTTTTTCCTTAATTCGACGACTTTTATAATAGCGAGTCTACTTAACTAAGTTACGACGCCTTATAAGAAGGGACCTAGTGCTTCTACGGGTCGTAACAAGACCGGAAATAGTAGAACGAGTATAGCATATTAACGTAAGAGGGCTGCTACTACTACCGCTAGCTCCGGTACTAGAAAGGGCGTCGCGAGTAAGGCTCCGCGTAAGACAACGGCGGGTAAGGCTCTACGTAAGACGACAACTAGCGCTTCTACTACTAGTAGCAATCGTACGAAGCGTCGATAGCGCCTAGGAAGTAAGTCCTATTTATAGCCGGTAGCGTAGCTAGTAGCGTAGCCGGTAGCGTAGCCGGCATTCTTACTGTCTTTTTACTAATCCTTCTTTAGCCGTAGCCCTCCGTTAGATTCGGTAGTATTAGAAGAGTTCTAAGCTCCTAATCCGCAAAGCTCCTTTCTAACGACTTATTCGCGAAATTGCCTAGGATTATAGAACGGACCTTCGCTTCTAAGCCTCCGCGATAGGCGCCCTTTAAGAGGCTATAGAAGCCTACCTAGTTCGTATCTTCGAATATATATTTCTTTTCTACCTCTTTTCGGACTATACTAATACTATTTTAGCGGTTAACCCTATAGCTATCTACGCGAAGCGTATAACGATTATAGACAAGGATTTTAAAGCACTCGATTAGATTCTAAAAGGCTAGAATGTCTATATTCGAGACGGTGCTAGGTAGGATAGATGTTCTAGTAGGAAGGATGTTCGTAGTATTATCTATAAGCTTTTCTATATACGAAATAAGCCGCTATTATACGGCGCTATATACCGCGCTCTAAATACTCTCTAAGCATATATATATAGTATAGTATGCTTTATTAGCTGTACGGAATAGAAGTCTCCTAAAATCCCGTTAGTACTAAGGAGTAAAAAGGCCGGCTACGCTGCCGGCTACGCTACCGGCTACGCTACTAGGTTTTTTAAAGAACTAAAAGAAGATAGACATTCCGGTTAATTTGTATTAGTTTAGATTTTTATAAAAAGAAAATAGGGAAAAATAAGGAAGGTTGAAGAGCCTAATAGTTATAGTTATAGGCACTATCCCTGTTTTCTAGAGCATATTATATACCTGCCTTCGCAACTCTACCTAATACTCCCTCTAAATATCCCTATACTCTACCTACTAGAAATTCAACTAGGTACCTAGACCTATAGCTGCCTCTATATCTTTTACTATCTTCTATAGGTTAAAGGCCTCTTCTATAGCAGCCTCTACCTCCTTATATAATACGAAGTCACTACCTACCCTACCCTTTATATCTCCTAAATAACTAAGAGTTCTAAGGAACGAACTAGTATTCGGCCTTAGTATAGCGAGTAACTAGTAGAACGTTCTATAGAGCTGCTTTATAGCTCTTTTATATACTATACCGATACTAAGGGAGGAGCTATCCTAGCACTTAATATTGTCGAATAGTTCGGTAGGAAAGTATTAGAACTTCTTAAGGAGGAGGACTTCTAGGGAAATCGATAACTTATAAGTTCTACCTAGATCTAGATAATAACATTCTACCGAGCAGTTAGGGAATTAAATAGCGAGCGAAAGGATAAAATTTATACCTAATAAGTGCAGTTTCTGAACTAAACTATAATAGCTTGTATATATATATACTTTTAATTAGTTAGTGCCCTTAGCTAATTATCTATAGATTTAGGGTTATATAAGTACCTTCCTATAACTGAAAAATGCCGGCTACGCTACCGGCTACACTCTCGTATCTTATAAAGGGCTTGCTTCGAGTTACGTAGACATTCTTATACTTCTAATAAGTGTAGTTTCTAAACTGAACTATAATAGCTTATCTATGTGTATGCTTTTGATTAGTTAGTGCCTTTAGCTAATTGCCTATAGATTTAGGGTTATATAAGTACCTTCCTATAACTAAAAAACGCCGGCTACGCTGCCGGCTATACTCTCGTATCTTATAAAGGGCTTGCTTCGAGTTACGTAGACATTCTTACACTTCTTAGAAACCGATAAATTCTATAGTTCGAACTAGCTACTCTTGTAGTTGCTTAGCAAACCAACCTAAACTAAACTAGATCTTCGGCTTAGCAAACTAAACTAAACTAACCCGAACTACTACGGGGTCTACTTATAAATAGATATCTTTAAGAACTCGTTATAAACTATCTACTTAGTTGCCGCCCTTAATAGACTCCGAGAGCTTAGTATATCCTAAAATAAGAGGGTAATTTTATACTACTATAGAAAGAAAGCTATAGATATATATAAATAGAATATTAATATAAACGTAGAGATACGAAATAATAGCCTATATTATATATTATCTAAAATACCTCTCTCTCTCGATAATCTAGTAATATAATACCTATCCCTTTACCTACTTTCTAGGTAGAACTATATAATATATAAATAGAAGTTATTAGACTTATCTAAGTAGCGGGTATAGTCTAATTTTACGTAAAGTCTAAAATCTAGCCTAAGACGTTTTAGGTATAGACAATAGTAGTAGCCTTAATAGCAACGTAGGAGAGAGGTACAATTAAGCATTAAGCTCGAAGTTAATAGTGTCTAGAACAATACTTCCGTTTGTTGCGTACGCGGAGATTTCAGAAATTTTGTCTTTAGGTATACGAGGTCGAGATCTGTCGGTATATACCCAATCGAGACCTTTAATTTCGCTGTAGTGCAGCTTCCAATCTAATCTTCTTTCTTGCGGATTACCGTGTAGCGAGGTGGAAAGGTAACTGTTGCTTATGGGATAGGCTGCCAGAGAGTCTTCCATGGCAGTTGTTCAACGCAACGAGAAGTCATGGTAGTAATCGATGAAAATCAGACGCGAGCACGAAAAGATAGATGCACGCCACAGGCTCATTGTGACGACGGCAGCCGTATGGCCATACCTGGAAGTACTGGCGGCGTGTACAGCATCGAGGCAATCGAGACGCCTTCAGTCCTCAGTGAGGGCTCTCCTGTGCACCTGAACTTGGGCTTGTGAGTCCTCAGAGGTTAGACCTCGCGACGGAGCTGCTGACCAGACGTTCCCGTAATGCTCGATGATTACGATCCGCGGTCGACCTAGGATGAGACACGAACCTGTAGGTATTGGCACACTTAACGGCCTGAAGGCGAGATCCAGCAGTGTCTTAGTCAATTGCGGTGGTGGGCATCCCTTTGAAAACTCGACGAACAAGATCGTTCATGCAGGTTGCCCCAGTTTTGCCTGTGCGCTCATACAAATTCTGTCTGTGCACACAATTAACCGCCTTTTCTGCTCCACTTATGTTCGCCAAGCACAACCGGTATAACCTGCAAAGGGATGATAAGAAAGAAGGGGAAGAGAGAACGAAGTCAGAACTGATCAGGCGCGGGCTTGGCGACCCCAAATCTCAATCACCAGCACAGCGACACAAAACAGTGTGGGGTAGAAGTATCATCATGATTGGAGTGCGATATCTTCATCCTAAGTGACTTCCAGCCTTAATTCCTAATCCTCCAACTTCGGCACATACCTCTCAACAAAAGCACAAACATCCCTCAGCACAGCTCCATTCAAACTATGTCCCAACCCCTCATACTCACGAACCTCAAGATCACTCTCGTGCACGCCCAACTCCTGCAACTTCTTCAAACTCTGATTCCAAACACTTTTCGGAATCATCTGATCCTTCTGTCCTTTCGCCAAAAAGATCGGAACGGACCCATGATTTGGCGGGAGACCGGCGTGAGATCTCAAATCCTCGATTCTGCGAGCGTTCGCGAGAGGTAAGTATCCCATAAGTCCGACGATGCCGCCTAGTCGGCCGGCGTATTTCTTGGAGGTGAGGTCGAGGAGGAGGGACAAGGCGCAGCCTTGAGAAAAACCGCCGAGGATGATGCGTTCGGACGGGATGCCTTTGTTTCGGCATGCGTCGATGAGGCTCTCGATGTATCCGATGCTCTTCATAAGACCGATCTCGTCTTCTTCAGGTGCCAATTCTGGACGATCTGATGGGAAAGCTGAGAAGGAGTTTGGAGTGTACCAAGCTTTTGTCATGGCTTCTCGACTCTCCATTGCGTTGGGGAGAATCCAATGCATGTATGGGAGCTTGTGGTTGTTCTGGAACTGATCTGCCACATCTTCAAGACCTTCTGCGCTGTCTCCCAGGCCATGTATGAAAATGAAGACTGCTTGGTGGCCGGGGTCTTGAGGTGGGTTCTCTGCGGGTTTGTAGATTGGGTCTTCGCGTTGTGGTTGCGAGGGAAGGGTCATGCGACGCTTGATCGGAGCGATTGGAGCGTCTGCCATGCTGTCTACGGTTCGATCGACGTATTTCTTCGCGCTGATTGTGCCGTAGGCGTAGCTGGCGGCTCGGAAATCGTCCAGCGTGAGCGTGGGTGCAAAGATGGCCAGGCGGGCTCTCAGCTAGATGTGGTTGTTCCTGGGTGAGGAGATGGACGTCCTAAGGCGGTGTATGGGACCCCGCGTGCGTATCTTCTTGTTCAGCCTTGACAGCACGAACTCATGCAGCTCTATGCTTGGATTCCTCGTCCAAGATATACAACAGTAGCCAATGCGTGGTATTGAATGGTTATGCGCTTCGAGTTGCCTCTCTGCCAGTGTCCAGATCTTTGCTTTGTGGTAACAAAGTCGTTCAAGCAGGGAGGCCGTCCAAGAGCAAGACCCGTAGCTATAATAGCTAGACCGTGAGATAGAGGTAGCTGGATGGAGCTCTAAGACTCTGGGTCGCCTATGTACTTACCGAGTGCCTACAGTTACCTGCTCCTGCATACGCTTATTACGTTTAGAAGACCATCCAGACTCGTGCCCCGCCTCTCGATTGCTGCGGCCGTTGTTTGTCTGCCACGATTGTCGTGAGCTCGATGTACTCCGCAGCACCTCGGGTCATATCGGCTGTTTACGCGAGTCGTTGTCAGCAAGCCAAGCGCCATGTCGTCAGAAATCACGGAACCGGCTAGACTAGTGCGGGAAGAGCCGCATCGTGGATCTCCACATGCTTGTTTCCGCGTGCTATGGATGAAGACGTGTTTGAACTTTTTCGCCAGTTCTTCGGTTCTGACGACAAGTCTCTCATGTTGACGAAATCTCTGTGAAAGGTCCTCTCCCTTCATCCCAGCGATCGAACCACACCAACGGCAATTGAGCTGTCTGGGTGTTGCAGTCGATCTCATATCGATCGATTTGACCGACCCATGGGCAGAGTAAAGGGATGGAGGACGGTATAGAAGGTCCAAACTGGTCAAAGATGATGCTACTCTGCCACAGCGCCTCCACGTTTCACCACTCTTCCAACCATGACAGTAATCCGATTATCGAACGTACCTTTCCCGCCGCCTAGCATCTTCGACAACGCCTACTGTAGACGGGCCTGAAAGATGTGCATACACACATCCCCGATATTCTCGCTGCATATCGTTGCCGCTTTCCCGGACACTTCTTTTGTGCACAGAAGTAGTCGTTCTTCTCGACCCATACGCGCTGCCCATCTAGGAGCAGACATCCCAGAGCGCCGAAATTCACACAAGCATCGCGAGCTTGAGCACAACACAAGGAATTTGTAGAGGGTTGGGCAATGGAAGCATTAGTCACAATCCGTTGAAGAGCAGGTGGGTCTTATAAGTTCGGCAGCGCACTGATGGAGGCTACCACAATTTGCTGGAGCGGCACAACAGAAGCGTCCAACGTTCAGGTCTTCGCAGCATGGACACGAGCCAGCGCGTGGATCAGCACCTCCAAGTGCACAAGTGACTTCGGTACGGCGTGAGACAAGTACACCAAGAGTTGCGAGCGCAGGCCGATATGATCATGTGGAATGGGAGGGTGCAAATTACAAGTCCCCAGAGCAGTGAATAGAGGCAGAGCTCGTCAATATTCATGTCTATACAGGTCAACTTGGGACCAAGACCGGGAATCTGCAAATGGCAATTTGCCATGTCGTGACAGAACATATTGTAGCTTCGTCTGCTGAGATGGCCGCGCATGCAGACCACCCCCTACCCGGTTTAGAAAAAGATATCAACGCCGCTCTTGTCTCAGGACATCGTGGTTGGGTCATACTGATTCGAGAGTGTTCGAAAGAGTAGAGTATAAGCAGAGAAAAGGATATCAGGGCCGCCGATCTTTGAATCGATAACCAGCACGCTTTTGACCATTGAAAAGGATTGTAACACCCATACAGTCACGCCGAGGTCCAGCATTGGCAGTGTCACTCGCTTTCTCCAAAGAAAAGCTGGCCTGGCCTGCACGGTGTTTCGTGACGAGTGAACACCTTGACCGCTTACGTAAGCTCATGTAGACTTCGCGTCTCGCGACTGAGATCCGCTTGACAATGTTGCACGCCATCGTACTGTCTCTGGTCCAAGGCATGTATGAACTGAACTAACCGGAATCTGTAAGTAATGCAGTAGGAACCGCCGAAGCTTATTAGGAGGAAGTCTTGGTTGTTATAATGGCGACTGGAGCGCTGCGATTTCGAACACCGTACATCGAGGAGCTGCCTACAGGCACTGCAACGAGACAGGCACCTGGATTTGCGTGGGTAGCCGTAAGCGGTCCATCACAAGACCCAGCTAAGAATTGGGGCACGACAAATCGAAAGCGAGCAAGAACGACAGGCCAGCAGAATGAAGCGCAGCGGGAAGCGCAGACTGCGAGGCAGCAGAGGGACATCGAGCGCAAGATACGCGAACTGAACAGTGACGGCCACAATCGAGAAATCGCCATCCCAGCATCGAAGAAGGAAGGCGGAGGGGCTGCAAGAGCGGGCAAAACGTCCAATACAAAGAAGATCTTGGCCAGCGGCAAGACATTTGCGCATTACTTAGACGATGAAGAGGCAGAAATTGCTCGCACGGGCAGACGGGATGGTGAGGATGTAGAGGCTCGGCCAAAGGAGCCACAGCGAGCGAGTAAGACTCCCATCGCAAGACGAAAAGCACAACTCCAGCGCGAAGAAAGCAGCATGAGCAGTAGTCCAGCTCCAAGCGGAACTTCTACCGCTATACTCCCTCTGACCGCCATTCCTCTACTGCCAGATTTGATGGATCTAGACGCAGACGATGACGAGCTCGATCCGATCGCAGCGCTGCCCTCTCAAGCCGAGATGGAAGCACTTCTGAACGCTCCACCTCTCACATACAATCAGGCGCGATCCGCTCCTCCGCCTGCAAATGCGCCACCACCACGCAAGTTCTGCGAGATCTGTGGATACTGGGGGAGAGTGAGATGTATGAAGTGTGGAAACATGACTTGCAGCGTGGTCTGCAAGGATGCGCATGACGAGCACAAATGTCTCAAGTTCTATGCTTAGCAAGCTGGGACGACCAGGCGTGGACGCTCGGGATGAGAGTATGAAATTTACGATGATGTATGAGCATGGAGTTATGGATGATGTTGAGATGCCCCGATGGCGATCGGAAAGGGGTCAAGAGATTGCGCATATTGGAACTGTGCTTCTTCTTCGCTCGCCTCATCGCACATCAGATCTCCGAGGCGGAGGATGCTTCCGACGTGCTACAAGCTGCTCTATCGCTTGTCCTCGCCAAGCCTTCCGAAGGACGCAGCTTTTGCGAAGCCGTTGAAAGAGCATTGCAGGCAAAATAAAAGTGCGTTGGCAATGGTCCAATGGTAAGACACTCATCTCATCTCCATGTGAAACTACGAGGTTCGGCAAAGACTTGTGGAGTGAAGTGCGATTTTAAGGCCGCAATCAGTGCGTTGAATGAGCGACGCGAATGCAGAGGGAGCCGAGATGAGGGACGCCAGTTCGGGGTTGACCTTCTCCAAACATTGTTCTTTGCTGGAGCGTGTTGGCGTCGGAGTATCGTTTCAATGACATCCTCTGGACCCATGGGACCACTGAGTGGGGTTTCTCTGCAAGAGACAGCGGTGTTCCAGTGAAGATCGGGAAACACGACGGACACTTCACATTACGCAGAATATGGCCTTCACGAAGATTCTCACCCGAACTCTCATGGATCGCAGTCCCACTCCAACTTGCTGGTCGTCCGAAGGCGCACGTTGAAGAATGGAAAGATTTCTTTCGACTCCTGCATTTCGCGCTGAGTACAAAGACGCAGCTGAAATCGAAAGTCGGTGACAACCTTTGAGCAAACGTAGCATAAAGGATGAGCGTGTTGTGTTTGCTCCCGCCAACAAACACCAAGAGTCTGGAGCCCAAGACAGACTACATAAGAAATACCACGTGCTACTTCCACCTCATCCATATCCGGCTTTGGGATCACACTGGACGCACCACCCATCATGCCAAGAAGAACCGTCAGTTCTGAACGCAGAAGTGAGCTTATCAAGGAGCGAGATTCATTCACTCGTGTGGAAAATGGCTTTCAATGCCCAGATATAGGGTGCAAGTTTCATTCAAAGCCAATGGACACCAAGTACCCGGAGAAAATGCAAGCGCACTACCAAAAAGAACACACACGCGGAGGTAAGGTCGAGCTTTTGTGCCGGGAAGAAGGTTGCCCGTCAGTTCTCGGTAGCTACGAATGCTGGGCCTGTCACCCAAGATACCACCAGGAAATCACATGTCCCGTGTCTGCTTGCGACACCAAGAAGAGAAGTGATCTCATGCTTGATCATCTGCGGACTTCCCACGCGATACCCCTACCCGTTGAGCACGGAAGAGATGCTCAGTTCTACGAAGATTGCGACACGATAACTCGAACTTGGGAGGAGACACACAACGTTCAAGGTTTCGATTATCACTTCTACGAACGCCGACGAGGTCTCATTTTTGACCCCGCTGAACATGGCGGTAACAACGATGAATCATCAACGGCTGACATATCGCAAGAAGATCAGGACATCAGTGCTGCAGCTAACGAGGCGCCAAGTATCTCAGCCACAGAGACCCCTGTGCCTGCTCTTGCCTCGTCGACTGTCGTCTCTACTTCAACCGGCAAAACCCGCGGACCACCTCAAGCTCTTCGAGACTTCCTCTCAGATCTGTTCAATCGTCCAAATGAACTTCGCAAAACCGACCTATATCAGACATTCAACAAATCTTTCTTCCTAGGAAGCTTTGTCAACAAGAAACTGTTCCGCAGCTATATCCCGGGGTACAACAACTCTCCTTCATACAACTGCTTCATGCTGGCCTCTAGCATCATGTGGCTGGGCAACGTCGACCTAAGCACTACACTGACGGAGTGCCTCGATCGACAACTCGAAGTCGCTAAGAACTATGGTGACGACGACAGGTCCTTCTTGAAATATCGATCAAAATCCAACAACGCCTTCTACGACTTCCTGTACGGTCTCTACGTCAAGACAAGAATCGACCCCGAGCATGATTGGCCCTCGAGACCCGGATCGGAAAAGCTAGCTCAGCTTGTGTACGATCTTGCAGGTTCTGAGGAACAGGAGGGAATGTATGGCTACGACCTGAAGACGAAGGACATGGTGGCCCTTGTGGATGAGAGGAACATCGACAGGGCGGAGCTGGTAAATTCGGTCTGGACTGACGCGCTAGAGGAGTGGCTTAAGCACTATGGTGAGCCGCAGCATCGCACTTTTGGAGAGTATCTGGGCGAGATTGTGGAGCGAGAGGTCAAGAGGATCAAATTGGAGAAGTAGATCACGGCACCGACATCTTGGGGTCGTGCGTGCGAGACGGCTTCATAAACGTGCTGCTTACACAGCCTCTCCACCACTTGAACTTTCCAGCACTCCGAGAGAAAAGGGTTCGCATTTCAGATCGTAGGATGCATTCATCTCGCTCGCGGGCCACATAAGCTCACAGCCCCATATCTGCCGTCGGTAAGTAGTTCAGCCGCGCACAAGAAACGCAAGATTGATGTAGAGCTATGTAGTGAAGTCTGGGCGCGAATGGAGTCCAAAAGAATCCCCGATACGATACGCGACCCCCGTTCCAAGACCGCCATTTGCTCCTCCATCCAAAATTTCATCCTTTCCACCAACATGCCAAGAATCATCGTGAGTGGCATTCGCACCAGTCCTTCCCAAACATTCAGATAGAAATTCTTCCCCTATTTTCCCTAATAACCCTACGCGCACAGTCTTGGTCTGAAAGGCACTCTCACCCTATCCTCGACACACCACGCTGAATGACTCGTGTGTGTACTGCAGATCAGGCTGTTGCTAGCTACTTCAAATTCGGCTGAACCCGCTGAAGTAAGAGATCACTCGTCGGCCGGTTCGAATCAAAATACCTATATAATAATGGACCGGATGAGGTAATTTTCCAAAGTGCACTTCGACACCGCGGTCGTGCCTCGCTCCAGAGTGAGTGCAAAATTCACTGGGCTTGGTCACATTATCGATGATTACTGGCATCATCTAGCGCTGTTTCGGCAACGGTATCACCTTTCGTTTCGCACTCACCACCTTCCACAATGTCCGCACATGCAGTTCGTATTCACTCGCTCTCAACGCACAGACCACGTACTATTTCCTATCTTCTCTCTTCGACAAAGGTTTTGATGCGAGGTGCGGGGATAGATCGTGTCAAAGGTGCGGGTTAAGAAGATAAGAGGGGGCGGTTGGGAAGAGGTAGGTGCAGGAGAAGGAGCGGCGGCGCTGAGACGGGAGGTACTCGTGGGTTGAACAGCAAAGTAATTCATCTGACTATCTAATCTACACCTTCCACCTTGACGTATCTTCAGATTTGATATTTACACGTACTTCCCAAATAACTCCTAGCAGGCAGGCAGGTTTGCTCGTTCGGTTCCCACGCTCTTTCGCAAGATCGACCAGCGAGGGGTAAGAGCAAGACCAACTTCCAGCCGAACCCCTACCTCTAGACGCTCAGCGGAGTGTCGAGCGCTCAGAAGACTCCATAATCGGACTCTGCTCCCCACCTCGCTGTTGTTGCGCTGCCGCACCAACAAACCCATAATTTCTCCTACTCTCCTCCTCCTCCTCCTCCTCCTCGGGCATAGGTCTACAACTAGGCTCAGTGGACACCTCTCTTTGATCCGAAATCGTATCCTCGGAGGAGTGTCGGGAGAGAGTTCGTGAATTCGAAATCGTACCCTCCGACTCCATCGAAAGAGTTCGTGAATTCGAGACCGTATCCTCCGACTCCTCCCCCTCGCTCCAAGCAGACCGACTCATCTCAAAAAGAATCTCCGCCGCGTGTAACGCCTCGGCCTCCAACATCCCATCCTGTTTCTCCTTCTCCCTCCGCTGAATTCCAAACCTCAAAACCGCCAACTCCGCTCCCTCCTCAGGAGAAACTCCAGCGTCTCGACGATCTTGCTGAAGTCTTCGAACGCGCGAGGCCAAATCTGGTTCCTCCGGATACGCATCGGATAGACTCTTTGGAGAGAGTTTTGGGTCGTTCAAGAGGTCGGAGAGATCTTGAGGGGTGGGTTTGGGTTTTGGGTTCGGGTTTCGAAGTTTGAGGCGTGGAGAAGGCTTCTTCTTTGCTGGAGACTTTGGGGGAGGGGATGCTTTGGCTTTGGCTTTGGGAGTGTTTTGATTCGGACGCTTGACGACTTTGCTGGGCTTTTGTAGAGGTCGTGCTTGGTGGAGAGGTTTGTCTTGCTCTAATGCCAATGCCCGAGCGGTGGGTTTTCGTTGGCGTTTGCCTGAGATGATGTTGGCAGCGGCCTCTGTGCTCCCTGGATCTGCTGGCAGCACCATTTTTGGCGAGCCGTCGGGCACAAGAGGGGTTGAGGGCGCGATTTGGTTGGTATCTGTTTGCATTTGGCCGTATGTGTATCCTTCGTTTGCGTTGATGGAAGACATCTTGAGGGTGTGGCAGGTTTTTCGAATTGTATTCTGTACTTTGATCGCCCAGATATGCTCTTCTGGATCTTCTATCCTTTGTCTTGAATTCTTGTCGCAGGAAGTGCCATGCCAGTAGTATATATACTCGCCTTCCCCCAAAGTTTCATGACTGAGGACATGAAATTTGGGCATATCGATTTGTCCTCACGCCCCAGAAAAGCAAGCCCAGTAGCAATGTGAGCATTTTGTGTGATCTCCACCAGCCTGTCGCCAGTCTTGGATTTCTTCGGAGGCATCTCGTGGTCGTTCACGAGGCTCTGTAGAATTGTGATTTCACGGCTGCGGCGCTCAAGCTCGGTACTTTGCATCATGCTTACTTATATAGGCTTATAGCTATCTCTTCTGCAACATATTGGGGTCGGGAGCTTGACGAAGCAGTTTGGTGACTCGTGATGTGCAATGCATCCACTCGACAACGAGAGAGCGACGTGATGCGGATCTCAGCCTCGGACGGTAGCAAAGTTTGGCTTGGCAGCCTTGGCCTGTCGGGCGTCCTGCCAGTCGTGGAGAGATTTGGGATATACGACAGTAGGCAGGAACTATGCGTCTATTATCGTGGGTCATGTCGCATAGTTGTCGTCACTCAAGGGAAGATGTTATCGCAAAAAGAAAGCAAGCGCAGGAAAATGTGTCTTGACCCTACCTATATTCAGCTCCCCAAAAATGCAATCCATGCCGGCGCTCATGCAACAATACAACTACAATGCCGCCCAAGTCGTGCCGCGTTCATCATGACTTCTCTGAATCGTATCCGGAGCCACTATGCTCCGTTCTGCGCTCCCGCCGTCGTGTCGCTACCCTGAAATCTGGCAGTCATCTGCTCGCGCATGACCTCGTAGAGAAAATTGAATTGGGCTTCGCCTTGCACCATCATCATACGCTGCTGGCGAAGTTGGTCCACAGTTTCGGCGATGGGATCCCTGTCTGGAGGGACAGCGTCGAGCTGGCCGGAGAACATCAAGCTGAGCAGGTAGTCGAGTGCGATAAAGGTGCCTGACCGCCCGACACCTGCCGAGCAGTGGATGATGCGTGGGTTGTCCTCATCAGTGGATGCGAGGTCCTCGGCGAAGGAAGAGCCTGCCGTATTAGTGGCCGTGCTGGAAGAACCGGGCTTGTTCAGCGCAGCCGATAGCCGCACAAGCTCGACAAGTGCTGCTCGATCAGCACCCTCTGGTACCAAGAAGTCCGGCCAACCCGAGAAAAGCAGGTGTAGGATGTCCCTCTCCTCTTGTGAACCATTCGCCGTGGTCGTCTTCATGCGCAATTTCCTCAGCTCGCTGCGAGTCTTGGCATTCTCCTCGATGCTGACTAGTTTCACCTCGCCCTGAAAACCATCCTGAAAATGCTCGTCCGGCCGAATGGTAAGCGGACTCTCCTCCGTCGACAGCGGAAAGTATTGGAAGCACTTCTCCTTGCCAGCCTCGTGCGTCTGAGTAAGCATGACCACCACGGCAGGGCTTTTCAGCTCGGATGCAAGCATGCGATAGAAGTGATTGACACTCGAGTCTTTCGGGCCTTGCGTCGCAATGTACCTCCTCTTGCCCAGCTGGATTGGCGAAGCATTGATGTAGTCATTTCCTCCTTCCGCGACTCGCAGTTTGATTCGATTTTGTGCGTAGGGTTCAACATTCATGTATCGGTTGCGAGCGATGATGGCGGCATCGTTGTTGAGTCGAGCCCATTTCGAGGGTGGGGCGTCTGGTTTCGCAGTAGACTGAGTGCCTTGTAGAAGTCGTTCGCGCTGCTGCCACTCGAGGTCCACGAATTTGGTGTGAAGTTCTAGCATGATGTCAGCATATTGATAGCGACATGTTACGACAGTTGTTTCAGACGGCATACCAGGCCTAGATTGCTTGAGAAAGGCGGGAAGTGGGCGTCGCTGTGTCGCCATGTGTCGGATAGGTGCAGGTGTGTCGCATGCGGCAGCCGAGTGCAGTATTCCTGTGCCTGTGCCTGTGCCTGCGCCTGCGCCTGCGCGTGATCCACCTCTATGCAACTTGGCTCGGGCTGAAGCGATTAGGGAGCGTGGGAGGGAAGATGAGAAGGTCGAGGAGGAGGACGAGGAGGCCGTGGTTGCTGTTTCTACTGCGCCGTCACCACCACCACCGTACTGCACTCTCTCTGCTCGGGTCTAACAACAGTGATTCCGACGATCGCGAATGGTGATATCGATGGGTGTATCCTTCCCTCCGAAGTGAACCAACTGAAGCGGAAACGGAATCGGAAGAAGGCAGAAATGCACAGCGCAAACACACTCGACGAAAGAAAGAAAAAAGAGCTTTTCTAATGTGTGGCCTTCCAGACATTCACACACACACGCTTCCCTGCCGCCGCCTCCCAAAAGTGCTTTGCGGCTTTGGTGAAGTGAAGCTGGGCTGACGAATGACAAAGTCTTGCGCCAGTTTGAAACACCCATGCCGCTACACATCCGCCGCTTGAAGCCTTGTGCAGCCGACCTGTGGCGATGGCCGTCGCGCCTATCACGTCCACCATGACGCCTTGAATCCTGACACCAACCGCATACTACATGCACTTCACGCAGCTTCCTCTGAACTAACGTCGTGACTCCATCGAATCGTTGCACCGCACCTTAGCAAACTGTATTGTTGGTGCTGCACCTGCGAACAACCGAACTCCCGAACCGCCTCACGACAGGGAATACTCACCTTCGACCGGCCTTCCAGAAAATCGTGGCGGCTTGCAGAATGGACAGGTGATCCATGAAACTTGACGTCGGCCACATTTAGACTTGCCGCAATGGCACCGTGGCTACGATTCCTGGAAGCATGGGCGGTTCAGCAGCTGTTGCGGACGCCAGCATTCCACAGAGCTGTCGAAAAGGTTGCGAGACAGGTACATCGTGCGCGGCATGGAACGCCGCCGGAAGAGCTGGGTGGTACGAAGCTGGACGATCCCAACCAGCCCAGCTTCATCAGGCACTTTGCGGATGAGTTGAAGACACAGCTCGGGAATGCTGAAAGGCAGGAGGTGGGTGGGTCGGCGAGGACGGAAGGGGTGAAAACGAAAAGAAGTCGCGGCGAGCCCGGAGAGCATGACTCGGATGCTGCTTGGGAGCATATTAGGCAGACTGCAAGGAAGACGGAGAGCAGGAAGCCTGCTGAACCCGCGGAAGAGAATGCAGACGATGCCTGGCGTAGTGCACAACAGAATGGGAGTCAGGCGCCCAAGAAAGGCTTCATGGGAGAGTACGTGAATGCTCTGAGAGATCAGATCAACAACAAGAATGGGAGATGAGCATGCGTCCCAATGGGCCATATCGGCGATGACCATACAATGAGGTACCGCAACATCATGTAGCACAGTGAAAATTTCGGCCGAGGCCATGACAGCCTTACGACACGGCATCGAGCAGCCCGATCATCTTCAGGATGCCTATGAAGATATGTCGAGGGAGGTTCTCTTCTGCTGCGACGTGGGGCGCACAACAACTGGCAGCGAGGGGAGGAGAGGAGCGTGCAGTGATGGCAGACTGAGTGGAGTCGGAAAGGTGGTGTCGGACTGGTCCTTGGCGACTTGCTTTGCAGTCAGGTATTCCAGCAGTCTCTTCTCCACCATCGAAGCCCGCACGATGCAGAGTGGTTACGGTGAGAAGTGAGGTGCCGTTGCATATGACGCCAAGAGCCGCAACGCGCTTGCCGTTTGAAGCTCTTCGCGACGCGCCTCACTTCGACGACCGTAAACAATCTTGACTCACCAAAAACAAGAACAATCCCCATCAACCTGCCAAAGCTCGACTCAATCAACCACACCACCGACCATGGAGACCATCCAACTACTCAACTCAAACTCGACTGACGATATCATGGAGAAGCAGCAACACGAAGAAGAGCCAAAAGGGTTTCGATCGCTTCCGCGCGAGCTCAGGGACAAGATCTACAAGCTAGTGCTACTGCCAGAGCCTCGCTGCATTACTCACTGCAGCGTTGAAGGTTTCGGCGGCGCCCATCTTGCAAGCACACACCAATCAGCTGAGACGCAGTCACTATGCATGGATATCAACTCGATTCGCTCTCGTGCGTGGAGCAGAGGACAACAGATGCCTAAGCTATTCAGAACCGCGTCAATTCTGCTCGCATGCCGTCAGATCTTCCAAGAAGCATCGCAAGTCCTGTATGAAAACACGCAGCTTCAACTCGAGACAGAGCATTGGCCTGGTTCCGGTACCAAGTTCTCGGAGTTTAGCCAGATATTGTCTGGCTGTCAACCAGACGCGCTCCGGCACATTCGAGTCTTGAGCCTGGTATTTCCAATGTCTACGAGGGATCAGTTCATATTACATCCGCTAGATCTGTGCGTTGATCGGTCAAGATTGCCAAACCTGAAACTTCTCAAGCTTCACTTCGACCTTCATGGAGATGCGCCGCCCGACGCTACTCGATTCGAATGTTTGTATGCCGTTGCAGATCATGTGGAGTTCGTGGTCGATTTCCATATCTACAGCTTCTTCCTCGACGATGGCACCGGCTGGGGAGAGGCAGTGTTTGACGGTTTCAGCACTCGAGAAGAAAACCCAGTGACAAACGCATCAGCCTGGGCTGCGGCGAAAGAGAGGGCAATTCAGATGAGGGCAAAATTCGTGAAGGAGCTCGGCGCGCTCCTTCAGCAGTACGGCAAGGAGCTGAAGATCAAGGGCGAGTGAGGGAGGCACTTGAAGATGCTGGGCTCAATGTGTAAGAGACAACTGGGTACGGTGCGGCTGAGAGAGCTTTCGGCCGAGTGAGGCACTTGGAATATGCTAGGCTCAGTCCGTAAGCGCCAAATGGGTATGGTGCGGCTGAGAGAGCTTTCAGGCGAAAGCGGTATGGACTGAGCTGCAAACCTCATCATCAAATTTCATGTAATTCTCGGCAGGAGACAGAACAAGAGAGACAAGGACAAGGCCGAGACAGCACCTCAATCAAAAACAGCCACTTCGGCACTCGTGTATCCGTCACACTGTATCAGTATATCCCCCTTCCCACCACCACCCCATCAAACCCCATCCATCCATCCCTCGCCCTCATCATCACCCTCCAAAGTTTCCCTTCGGCACCGGCCTAACCCAACAAACCACGGCATTCACCCCCAAAATCACAACCCCAACAATCCAAATTCCTTTCCTCATATCCTCCCCAACACACCGAAACACACCCGCAAAAACAATCCCTCCCAAATTCCCACTCGCCCCCGTAACCCCACTCACAACCCCATTCGCTCGCGGATACACATGCGGCACCAACGAGAAATTCACCCCATTCCCCCCTTCCAGAAAAAACGCCAAGGCCACTCCGATAAGACAGACTAACGTCGTCAAAGAATGTGGATCCGTGGTGCCGATCACGACTAGGAAGGTTCCGGTGAGGAGGTTGTAGGTGTGTAACAGCGCCTTCTTCGCCCAGATATTTTTGTGAAGTTTCGAGTATAGCACGTCGCTGATTGCTCCTCCCAAAGGTCGGAAGAGGATGTTCATGAGGCCGAACATTGCGGCCCAGTTGGAGGCTGTTTCGGGGGTTGGGGACGGGCGGAAGGTTTTGAGGTAGTAGGTTCCTAGGATGCTGTTGAGGGAGAGTTCGGCGCCGAAGGTGCAGAAGTAGCAGGAGGCGAGGACGAGGGTTTGGGGGGAGAGGAGGATGTGGGAAGTTTGGGAGAGGGAGGGGGGTTGGATTGTTTCGTTGAGGGGGTGGGTTGAGCCGAGTTGGGGGGAGGTGGTGGGGCGGGCTTGGTCGAGTTTCTTTTCTTCGTCGTTGACGGCTGCTGGGGTTGAAGTACCAGAGTTAGAGGAGGATTTTGTCTTTTCGTTGACTTGGCCGGGGATGTCGACTATGAGAGGTGGTTGGAGGCGGAGATTGGCTTGGGCGCGTTCGGACCATTTGCCGGTGGGAGTGTCATCGCAGAGGAGGAGGAGGGCGAAAGCGACGGATGTGATGAGGATGCCTGGGACGATGAAGGTGACTCGCCATGCGACGTGGGGAGTGAGGCCGTCTCCGACGAGACTGTTGTAGACAGCTGGCATGACGAAGTAGGTGATGCCACCTCCGGCATTACCAAGACCAGCGGTGAGGGCATTGGCGGTTCCGACGATGTTCTTGTCGTAGAAGCCGGTGGTCCACACCTGGCATGGCACGAAGCTTCCTCCGAGGATGCCGATGAAAAATCGAAGAGCGTATAGCTGGCTCACGTTGTATGCTGTTCCGGCGAGCCAGGTTGGGATGGCACCGAGGAGAAGACATCCGGCGAAGGTCCGTCGTGGGCCGAATCGATCACAGCATGGTCCGGCAACGAGACGCACAAGAAGCGTGGCGCAGAGAGCAATGATGTTTGAGTTGCTCACTTGGATTTGCGTGAGTTTCAAGTCCTTGGCGATGACCTCGTGGAGCAGAGGTGGAAAGGCGTACCTGGAGAGCGGAATTAGTGGTCGTAGTGTGACGATCAGGGAAGTGTTGTACATACCACGACCAGAATGCGAGCAGGAAACCAAACCACGAGAAGAAGAATACACGACCGTAGTTGTTGATGGGGTTGAGAACTGGGATCGTTCGTGCTTTCCTGTTGATGGGGTTGACTGCTGGAGCGCTCCACAGGTAGCTGATCCTGAAGCCCATCCTGTGTCTCGGTTGCGCTGACTACTGCTTCCTATCGAGTGCAATATGGAAATCGCACAAGCACCCAATAGTCACTGCGTCGACTCGGCTGAATTGTAACGAGCTACCGAGCAAACAGATCTGCTCGTCACAGCAGAAATGTCGCTCAAATATTCTATCGCCCAAACCGTTCATCTTTACGTCGAAGTTGCTTCTCCGGTAGACGTACAGATCTCGACGATATCTGACGAACCGCCTCTAGAAAGAAGTAAATCCGCGGATCCTAAGCTTTTAGATTCAGGACGGGGATTCTGCGGAGAAGACGAAATTGTGCTGCTGTAGAGCCGCTGTTGAGGCAGTTTAAGGTGCGGTTGGTTGGGTGTGCAGGGCTGGCCCGTGGTGGGCACTGATAAGGTCGACTTCAGCAGCCCAAAGCCAGCGCGATTCCTGATCGTGAATCCCTTTCGATCTCTCACCTATCCCGCCTCTACGCGGTCAGCCTGATACATGGACGAGGCGTCCTTGTCGATGCTTCTGCATTGTCAGCCATTTGATATTTGGATGGTTGTCGTTCTCCGGGACAGTGTTCTTCGAGAACGCCAGACACAACTCTGCTGCTTCTCACTATCTGATGTGCCAGATATTGGAACAAGGCTAGCGAAAGGAGTCGTCGGCCCCCACAGCGTGGCTTGAACGTGTGAAGACAACGTGGCCAGCGAACCACGGACACCACTGACCTCGCACCAAAGGTTATGAGCCAGTGTCATCAAAGCCAAACGACATGTGAAACTGTATGCTTATCAGAGCCTTTCCCAAACGGGACGATCCTCTGACAGATGGGGTGATAAGAGATCCTGGCCTCCAGCGACGCGACAAACTGCAGTGTGTTCAACACTTTTTCAAGGCAGGCAGAAAGTTGCTGTGTTTCCGCGGTTTACATTTCTTGACAGTAGTGAGCTTGCTTCATATAGAAGAATTCTTGGCTGCTTATCCGACTGTTCGTGCAGGGTGTTGAGTTGAGGCCGGCGAGGATGACCACCACACCTTCTTTCCACCTCGGATGCTTTAGTCTTGCAGGTTTTAGCGGTTGGCTACTTGCATCAGAGACCATGTTGTCGTCGCGTGAAATGCTAGACTTCAAGATTTTCCAGTCTCGCGGTGAACATGTGCGGTGGCATTCGCTGCCGATCTACGGAAGTTCTTTCTGTGCTTATTATAACCCCGGCGGCCTAAACGTAGCAATAGACTGTATCACGCATAGCATAGTGGATTACTTACGTAATACTGCATTGCCGGCGGTTAAATTCGTATCGTTAATTGCCTCTGTTCTATCTCTTCTATAGTCTAAAATATAGTGTAAAAATTCTTTAAGCTAAGAAGTTACGTGCCTGTTATATAACTAAGCTAACGCGTTATAGACTATAACCTAGGTTTCTCGAATTTTCCTATTTCTTAGTTTCCCGGGGTTTTTAGTTTCTTAGGGGTTTTAGTTTCTTTACTATCTCCTCGATATAGAATAGTATTATATAAGTAGTACGGTTGTTTTAGCTATAGTATACAAACTTAGTACTATAGCTAAAATAACCTTATTACCGCTATTCTACCTACTTTCGGAATATAGGTAATTTAGTAGGATTTTTATCTTTATCGTCTCGTCTCTAATAATCTCTATTTTTAACCTACTATCGAGCGAGTATTAACTATATTTTTTCTATCGATATATACTATACTAAACTCGAAACTATCGTACGCTATAGTAATATCGACGTATACTATAGCAATATCGACGTAGCGAAACTACGAGAAATACTATATTATATCGATATTAAAGAATATTATAACCTTATTTAGTATATTCTCTATATCGAGAAACTACGTATATATTCGATACTATATATACGTATCCTATAGGAAATAGGTACCGATATTAAAGAGCGTCTTTTAAAATAGCGGTATTTAGAATAGGGCACTTCTATTAATAGTAGGCCTATTATAAATAGCAGATGTCTTAAGGAACGTGTTAAAAATGACTTTTAGTAGTACTACAGCCTAGGCGATAAGAAGATAGTCGATATATTATATACCGAGGGCTTTATAGTCTCCTTCTAGTAATACTAGCGTTTACGGCGGAAGTTCGGTCTTCTACGAAGGATAGTACTCGAAAACAAGAGAGTACTATATAGAGCGATTAAGCGCGTCCTTAAGACCGTAATTTCCTCTAGTATTAAGTATAATAGCGGATACCGCGCTATTATAAGATATATATAATTATATAGGAAGAACTATTTTATTAGTAGGTTAGTTTAAGCATTCTTTGTTATTCTATACCTGTTTGCTTATAGTATACTACTATATATATACTATAGCTAAACTACAATTTACGTCGCTAGAGGGTCTAGATACTAAAGCCCTATAACGACTATCCTATCGTACCTTTCCCTAATAATAGGCTAATATGTGCTAGGCTACGATTTATCTGTAGTATAATAAACGTTATACTATAGATAAATCGTATTCGATATATAGGGATATCTCGAAACAAGAGATTAAAGAGATCCTAAAGCACTATTAAACTGCCCTATACTTATACTACTTAGTGAGCCTCTATCCTCCTCCTAGACCCCTAACTCCTAATCGTAAACTAACTATTACGTATATTCGTAAGCTCCTACGTCTTAGTAAGAAGCCTTCCTTTCTCCTCTATCTCATCCTCCCAGTCCCTAGCAGCACCAGTAACAAAACACGCAGCCATGAAATGATCATCCGTAGCATGTGCATCGCGATCCTGAGGATGCTTCATCAATCTCGTGACAGCCCGTCTCAACGCCGGGCCCCGATTATTCTGAAAGCAATCTTCAACACTTTGTCTAAACTCCAAAGCCCAACCCTCGGGCGGTGTGGGCTGTGCAAAGTTGTTGCGAAAGTTGAGCATAGGCTCCCACACGTTGCGGAAGAGAATGTGCACGGCACCTCCCGTGCCGATGAGTAGGTGGTTTTCGTTTCGAAGCGGTCTCAATGTGCTTCCGACCTTGATGTGAAAGTGTGGGTCGAAGCGAGCGTTCATTGAAAGGATCGTTGTCGGCGGGCACTTGTTCGGAAACATTCGAATGAGAATGAGATAGAATACGTGTCGTGAATCCATTCGAAGTTATTGTTGGGTTGAACGTTGAAGCCTTCGTCTTTGAGGATTCTCATGCAGCGCTCGCCGGTAGGGAGATCTGGTTCCAGCTTGTAGTCGACGTACTTCGAAGGGTGGACAAATGCAACGGGTGACTTGCCAGGCTTTGGGTTCATGGCAATTTCGATCACATCTCCAGTGGTATCCCAATGCGCACCCATCATGATCACACCTTTGATGCCATTTGCAAGTGCTTCGTCGCCGGCCTTCTTCCAGTAATCTGCAGACTCTGATTGCTCTCCCAACATCATCGTCGAGCCATGTGAGAAGAAATGGACTGGTGTGAGTCCTACTCTCTATGTCAGCGCAGTTTAACAGCGGAGGGCGTGGATGTAGCGTGCCCATTGTGCTTGTGCTTCCCCAAAACCTGTGTTTTCGATTCGGGTCAGTGGTGTTCAAGTTACATGCGACTATACAGAAAATGTGTATGTCTCGTGATGGTTCGCAGGTATGCGAGCTGGTTCATTTCCAGGACAAAGCTGTGACCGAATGTGGTATGTCCCAAGCTTCCGGTGGCGGCTGGTGGGCGAGAAATTATTGCGCTACGCCTTCCATTATGCTTACTGCTGACTGTAGTCATAGTGGCATGGAGATCGAGATACCATACAATGGAGCTCCAATCCATGACTCTGCCATGAAATGGTCCCTGTTTGCTGAAATCACAAGTTTCGTTTACAACGTCGCCATAGCCGGACTCAGCTCACAAATCTTTGTGATAGTAGCCACCCTTCTCGCCAAACGTCCTCGACTTGATGACATCCTTCTCGCCACTCTGAATAGCCTGCTCAAATTTTGCGGCGCCCTTTGGATCATTCGCGAACAAGTGATCACGCACGTTGCGTTGAGGCGTCTCGCCAAGCCATTGGAAGAGGGAGAAGTCCTGGAATTCAGCTGCGCGGAAAATCTCCAAAACTTCCAGAGGCTCATCATCGCTCAGATTCTCGATGAAATGTCCCATATTTTTCGGAACGATCCCCACATCTCCAGCAGTGTAGTCAAAAGTGCGAGCGGTGCCGGATGAGCCAAAGATGGTCACGCGAGCACGTCCTTTGATGAAGAACGACCATTCATCAGCATTAGGATGCCAGTGCATCTCACGCATTGCGCCAGGGTCGATCTCAAGATGTGCAGCAGCGACGGTCTTGGAGATGGGGAAATTCCTGCTGTCGGTAATTCGAACTTTGCCACCAGATGCAATGATAGGCTCTTGGGCGTCCATCTTGTGCTTGAAATTCAGCTTCGATTTTTTGTAGGCTTGCGGCTTCTCCTTGTCGAGAGGACCAGGCAGTGAGCCTTGGAAGATGTACTTCTCCTCCTCGGGAAGGGTTTCGAACACCTCAGGTGGCAATCTGAAGTTTTCAGCAACAACGGACTTGGGAGTGTGTATGAGCCAGTCGGTTAGGAGGAAAGTACTCTCTTCGCTGAATCCACCATCGTCGAAGATGAGGAGAAATTCCGTTCCGTTCGGACTTAGACCCTGCAAAGAGTGAGGATGACCCGGCGGGAAGTACCACAGATCACCCTTTTCAAAGTCGTCGATGAATGCTCCGCCTTCAGTGTCGAGTGCGGTCACTCGAACGCTGCCTTCAAGCACATAAGCCCACTCTGCTTCTTTGTGCCAGTGCAGCTCACGGATAACGCCCTCGTCGAGACGCATGTTGACACCGGCCAGTTCTACTGAAGTTGGAAGCTCCTTGCTGGTGGTCTGTCGAGTCCAGCCTCCCTCCTCAATACGGATATGAGAGTCGGCGTAGCTCCTGCTAACTGTCAGCAATGTTCAAATGTTCATCGAACACCGAACTTACCATCGCATATTCTTGAAATCACCATGGTCTGTTGACGGCGGTCTGATCATGTCAGGGTTCTGCCTCTCGCGATCTCGATTGCGCGGTCCAAGAACATCAGTGCCATCTCCATTTCGCAGTGGCTCCGGTTGCAGGTTTCGGCCAACGCTATCAATCTTGTGATCGTACGGGTCGTTGTGGTCCTTCCGGTATGGTGTTTCAGTATGCACCAATGGATGTTGCCGGACCGGTGACGCCAAGCATGACGCCGACAGTAAAGCTGATGCGAACAGGGTGAGTGAATGCATCTTGGCCAAGCCTCCCCGTACCTTCAGCGAGCTCGATGAAGATCGAAGAAGTATCCAACCAGCTCTCGGAGGTCAGTGATATAAAGAGACTTCTAAGTTCCGGCAATAGCCAGGGTGGACGGCGTGCGAACTCCGCTTCCTTTGCCGACGTCAGTCACACCACCGACCATCTGCTCATATACGACTTCACGTTCGCACATACGCGCTTTTGCCGCCTTGTTAACGACGACAGCCCGACTATCTACGAGAAAGCATTAGCGACATTCAGACCTCATCGCCGCCCGTGGCTAGCACAGGCAAATTAATTGAGGAGAAATTTCTTGGCTGGAGGAGCAACGGCTCGAGCGCGTCAAGCGGAGAGGGAGGGTACTACACTCAGCCGCAGTACCCTTTATACCCGCATTACCCGACATTGGTAAAATCCATGCTCGGCCACGTTCCTCTCAATTCGAACAGCAGTCAAAGGAACAAACCCAGACCATGTCTAACACCACATCATATGGCACCATCGAAGACGCGCGACCAGCCGGAAATGGTCGTATCTTCAGCAGCTCCAACGAGGAACGAATAGGACTGCTTCATGGCAACACGAAAGCGTCCAATGGCACATTCTCGCGACTGAGAAGCCACTTCGCAGCCAATGTGAGCAATACGTGGGGCGATATAGCTCTCCTTCTGTGCTACATCATCACAGGTCTGCTCGACAGTAGCAGTGTGTATACCTGGGGATCATTCGTGTCAATGCAGACCGGAAACACGATTTATCTCGGAGCAGGAATTGTCGCTCCGAATGAAGACAATCGTTGGTTTCGAGCGCTGGTCTCAATTGCAGCTTTCTGCATCGGATCCGCCTTCTTCTCTCGCTTCCACAGATATTTTGGAGCGAAGAGACGATGGGTAATTGTTGCGTCCTACACGATTCAACTTATTTTCATCATTGCCGCTGCAGTGATGGTCACGATTGGACCTGACACTGGGCCCAAAGGTCCAATCACTGTTTGGAGTGTTGCGCCGATTGGACTCCTCGGGTTACAGTCAGCAGGTCAGGCGTACATGAGTCGGGTACTGAAGTATGGCGGATTGACCAGCGTGGTCCTTACATCGATCTACTGCGACTTGTTCGCTGACGAGAAGTTCTTTGCTGCACCGACCGGGAACGCGGAGAGGAACAGGAGAGCGGCAGCCGCGATTCTGTTGCTCATCGGTGCCATGTTCGGCGGACTTTTCGCACACAGCTCGATCGGCCTGATGGGTGCAATTTGGACGGGTGCTGTGCTCAAACTAGGCATTGTACTTGCCTGGTGCTTTTGGGCTGCTGAGAATGTAGGAGGCGATAGCTGAAGAGGAGTGACGACCCTTCCAAAGGATTGTCATTGTCTCTGCAAGTTGGTGCGAACTTCTCGAGGAAAAACCTGCTGCATCACCTCTTCTGATGAGTTCATGAGTATCGCGGCTCTGATATTGGTTGAGCTGCGGCACTCATGCCTTGTTTACCCCTTATCAGGCAGAATAACGGCAGCAATTGCACTTGCAGGCAGCAGAACCGTTTCAGCAGAACTGCATAGATACAAATTATGATATTAAATCAATCAAAGCCACAGTAACTTCCCTCATCTCTCCATCGTATCATCGGTTACCCACAACCTCCAACAACAAAAAGCCTTGAGTCCTCTAACCCAGCATCACGGGCTATACTCACACATGGAACATTCCCTCCACCACCGAATTTCTCAAAACCTGCCCCCAACTCATCACAGACGCCAGACTCATCGTTAAAAAATCTGAATTCGAGCTGACAGGACCCGAAGGTGAAGACGATCCCGAAAAAAAAAATCATAGCACTAAATGTACAAAATCCGGAAACGGACTCCAAAGCTTGAATTCTCGAGCCCACTTCCAGTCTCAAGAATTTCAAATTCTGTAAAACGGCCCGGAAGTTGCTATGATTCCGTGTTGAGGGCGAGGCTGCTATCGAGATTAGGTGAGTTTTGGTTTCCATCACATGATTCGCCTCGTGATGAATGATGGATGGAATGATACGTAGCTCCGATGGTGATTGTAGCCAATTCTTTAGTAGCATTGGCAGGATGCCATGAGAAAACTCTAATACATGTTGTAGTTAGTGTACGAAAGATCACCATGACTTTCCGAGATTAGAAGTTTTGTACAGGGCGCAAAAGCTGTATCGGGAATTCATGCTGCTGCTATTCGTGGACCATCACCAACCCGGCGCGAAGATGAGAATGACTGCAAATTCCATTCGCTTACTACCAGTCCGTACCATAACAACTTTATTCCAATGCCAGCATCCATCTCACCCCAATCCCATCATTCAAACCAACCTCATGTATATCTCTCTTCAAACCCATTCAAAACCCCCCCTTCCCCTACAGTACCTCAATCCTCCCGTCCCCACCACCCCCTCCACCACCCACCCCCTTGCTGCTCCCCACTCTTATACGGATACGCTCCAGGCCCAGCATAACTCTTCGTAGCATACGGGATGGGCACACCATAGGTCGGAGCCTCTTCTGTCGTAGTAGTGGTGCAACTCGTACTCGTAGAATCCGGACCAAAAGTCGGGAAAGTTTCCAAATTGGTGGCAGTGCCTGGCAAGCGAGGACGGGAAGAGAATGAAGGGGTGGGGGTAATGCTGAGACTTGGAGAAGGATAAGGGTAGGGATTTGGAGGTGTTGGGAAGCCGGTTGAGGGGGTTGTGGAAGTGTTGCGGGTGTTGGTGATTGGGTCGCCGAGGGTGGAGGTGGTGAGTCCAGTGCTCAAGCTTACACCAGTAGATAGGCTCAAAGATGGATATGGGGCGGTTGGGTAAGGGTAAGGTTTTGGAGACGAGGAGCGAGTGTTTGTGATGGGCGAAATTGGGGTTGATCCAGTGCCGGTTAACGACCACGTTCCAGTCCTAGGTCTGCTGGAGAAAGTTGGAGTGAAAGAAGAAGTGTTGTTTTGCAGGGTTACGTAGGTGGTGGTGCCGATGGTAGTAGTGATCGTAGTGGTCAAGAAGGAGCTCGTTGTGGAATTGGAACCATAGTACGGCGGTCGACCTGGATTGGTAGGATACGAGCTTGGTGGGACTGCGGTGCCAGTCGGGAAAGGACCGTAAGATTTCGTGATGTTGTACGAAGGTGCTGTGTACGAAGGAATGTAAGACGAAGCACCGGTAGATAATGAAGGCAAGGTCACAGTCAGAGTGACTTGAGATGTGGAAGTCAAAGTCGTATCAGTCGACGACTCAGTCAAAGTACCAGTGCGAGGTCTACTAGTGAAGCTAGGCGTAAAACCCGTAGATCCAGGCACCGAACTCGTGTTGCTAAAACCGATGGGATCTCCAACAGTCGAAGAAGAGGAAGTCGGGAAGCCAGTAGACAAAGAAACCACAGAAGTGACTGTCACCAGAGAAGTGCTGCCGGTGCCATAGCTGCTGGGTGGGCCGTAAGGCTTTGGAGGCCCATATGGTTTTGGCGGCCCGTAAGGCTTGGGGTTGTAGCTGGGCGGCGACAAGGCTTCTTTCTTTGCGAATTTCACTAGAGAAGATCAGTGCTGCGATTTTAATGTGCAGAGAGAGTGCGTACCGTCAACTGGCTTGGCCGTAGTGGCCACGAGCAGTGTGACCAGTGGCAAAGCTGTCGAGAACCTCATAGTTGCTGACTTTTGCTTGCCTGATAATGAAAGAAAACCGGCTGGCGACTTGATGAGCAGGTACGGCAAGGCAAAAGCAGCAAGAAACGAATGACTGCTCGAAAGGACGGAGCGTGCAACGGAAAGACAGCTGTGCACAAATGCTATTTCTTATACTTGTTTGACATGTTCTGCGGAACCATCGACGAGCCTCCTGTCGGGATTGTGTGAGCAAGACCGAAACGCAATCAATGCGACTTTCCACTTGCGATGTTGACGTAGCGCGAGTTCCTGCAGCTATCACACACATCTTGCTTCGGAAAATGGCCTTGATCGTTGTCAAATTGTCGATGGGCGATAGACTGCTCAAGGGATGACGGAATCAGGCAGAAATTGGAAGCCGTGGCGTTTGCTGAGATACCTGTACATTGGCAGTCGCAGCAGACCGTTCCTGGGCCACTTCCGACAGCCAGGTTGGTGTGGCATCACAGTATGCAAATGTTGGTGCGGCTGCATGATGTAGCTGCACAAAGCCGCGGGTGTAGCGCATACTGACAGCCCGGTATGACTCCCCGCAAGGGAACCCGCTGATGTACGCAGTGCAACGAGCCAGTCGATCGGCGCCTGAGCCTCATGAGTCCAGATTTGCGTTGTCGAAAAGACGACAGCTCTCCGTCTTCCCAAGGCGCGCAGCTGTCTTCAGATTGCACAGGCTTTCCAGTCATTCTGCTGCCCAGCTCCTTCTGACAAGCCATTTGGAGATGCAACACATTCTCGTGCTTTCGGAAAGATCTCATATGGGACAGATCATTTGGTGTCACCTGTCCCCGTTTGCTGCCGAAATGATTGTCTGCAGGTTGCAGAGCCGCAGATCCACTCGGAACATGAATCACATTTTCAGCTTGGATTCAGTCTCATCTGATTTGATCTTGCTTCGGTGAGGACGTGTGCTACCCAACGCTTGTGGGTTTATTTGGAAGCTGAATTCAAGTTCCTTGGGCACGAGTTTGAGATGTCGTGGTTGCCACACCTATTCATATTTCGAAAGGCCAGCTGCGGATTCAGATAGGCGTTTTGTGGCTTATGCAAGGGGTGATTGTGCATGAGGCCAAATGCAGGTGAAGCTGCAGGTACTGTGCGACACGACTGAGCCTTGCCGTCGTGAAGCTCGCACAGCGTCGTCCGTTGCATGACGCGTAGAAGACCGTCACAAAGCTTCATTTGCAAGCTTCATTTCAGCTTTCCTTTCTCAGCGCTTACCGGTTTCATGCAGAGGAGGCAGCAAAATTTTTGAGGTCTTGCAGACTTCGCATAGCTCGCATGATGGCAGCAAGGCGGCCAGCGTGGCTCTATATTGCCAAGAAAGGTTTCAGATACCACAAAACTCCTTGCTCTTAGCCAAAGGAAATAGTCGAGAGCTAGGTGGGATCAAGCGAAAAGGTTTGATCAGGTCTCGGCGTTTTCATCGGCGAAGGGACTTCTGGTATCATCCCGCGATATCGCAGCTCCTTGGCTCGCTGCATTAATCTTCGGCAGACTGGTCGGTTTCCTTCTCGCCTTTGGTGGTGGTGGCTTGGGAGGTACTTTAAGAAGCTGATCATCGCCGTTCGTCTTGCCATTGACACCAGGCTTGCTCATCTTCCGCATACGTCTGGGGAGGGGTACACTTGGCTTCTCCTTCACAACCTTTGCGCTCACATCTTGTACGCTCAGGCTGCTGACTGATGCTTCTGCAATAGACATCCCCAAAAGCTTCTTCGCGACTTCTGACTCTGATGGCGCGCCTTCTTGGAGCTTTTCGTTGAGCTTTTCCTCGAGTTCATGGTCGTCCTCGTCGCCTTCATCTCGTAGCCACTCGATTTGCTTGCATCGAATCACCAGTCGGATGACAGTCTCATCCACTGGCGCAAAGTGTGCTGATGACCTGTTCACAAGCAGATATAGAAGCTTCCGGACCTCTTCGCGCTTGTAGTTGTTACCCTCTTTTGCAAGTTGTGTGTTCTTCAACAGCGGGCAAAGAACACGGAGATAGGTGTGTCTCAATGCTCGCTGGCCGTCCCTTTCCACGCCGTCAGGCGAAAGGCCCGCGTCTGCGCTACCAGGATCCAGATCAAGCAGGTTCCTGATGATAACGTCGACCAGAACGTGCAAGTCATTGGTATAAAAGTACTCGTAAGTAGCAGGAGTCGTGAATAGGAGATAGAAGAGCTTCAGAATCATGAGTTGGCGGCCGAGCTCGGTCTCGCGATTGAGAAGAAGAATGATGTTCTCTCCAAAGGTGCGGTATGAAGGCCCATGCATCGACAAAAGCTTCAGTATTCGATTCGTGACCGGCGCGTTGTGCTCTCCCGGAGATACAGGCGCGTTCGCCAGCACCATGTATTGCTCATTCAGAACCAGCAGAACTCTAATGATCGGATAGTGGTAAGGGTCTTCGGCGTCGTCGGAAAGTTCTTCTATCAATTGAAAGAGGTACAGAATGAAAGCGTCATCGACGCTGATTATGTCCTCTCGTGTCAGTCTCTGAATGCGGGACATTTCGAAGAGAAGCTCTAGTAGAAGTCGATGGAGGCCGACATCATCATGCCGCTTGGCGCGGACCAATTCTACGAGACGTGGAAACGCGCGCTCGCCCTGCATCATTTCGAATGTAGATTCATTGTAGCGGCCGTCAAAGAGCAGCACCGCTGCAGCAAGGTGCAGAGTGTCCGCATCGTCTTCTTGGAGCAGACAGTATAGGATTTGCCTGCGGACGTATTCCTGGTTCTCCTTGAACACTGGCGCATCGAGCAGCTTATAGCAGCATCGTGCTATGTCATACTCCGACTGCAAATACTCCTCTTACGCAAGTCAGCATCTTGCCCAGGGTCTGGTCCATGCCCAGCTCGGCCGCCACTCTGTACCTACTCTTGAAGTTGGTGGTATATTGCAAATAGCTTCTCAGGGTATTATCGATCTGCTCGTGGTTCTCGCTGGGCGCACCGACAATCTCGTCCAGCTCTATATCGTGCCTCTATCAGCTTGGCCTTCAATTGCGCCTTCACATGCAAGTGATCATAGGGCATTTTGGCGGCGGGAGGTCGAGGTTGGTTGCCGTACCTGCCCAGAACTGCTCTTCATTCTCGACTGTGTATTGCACTCCATCTTCTTCCTCCATATTCAATCAGAAATTCTTCAGCGCCCGAGCGCATGCATACTGCCGCGCTGCGGTATCACAAGGCAATGTTCGCGAGGCTCAAGAAGTGGGAAGTTGTGTTCTGCTGGTGACGAAGCAAGCAAGCTACTGGAACTATTTTAGGCTCGCCGCGCGGCAGTGGCCTGAACCATCACATTGGTCGAAACAAAAAATGATTATCTAGACAGTTGGCAGGAACTGAAGATGTGGCGCCGAAGTAATCATTGTAACGCTTATGCTATTCACAACAGTCCTGCTTTATCTACATACAGTGATGAGTTCTGTTCGTGACCTCTTTGATGATGGTGATGCAGTAACGATGCTTCAGCGCCGACCCGATGTATCATATGTGGACTTGCCATCATCAACAGACGTGTTAAGTGTGCTTTCAGACATGTCGTCAATACCGAAAAGCTGCAGCGAGTGGGGAGATAATGGCACAGGGCCTGAATCCGTGGTGTAAGACGTGACCGCTTCAAGAAGCGCAGCCCGTGCAGTATCTTCCGAGTCCATTCTACGCCCTTATGCCATTCCGTCTTCACCATTCTGAGGAAGTCCTTCCTATGGACTGGTCCTTCCTACGCAATGTCGAGTAGCTGGCGTGTTTGACTTCTCGTCCGGCCGCGGGCGGGAGAAGATCCACACACACTTCTACCAGAATCATGGCGTCGCCAGCGGTGGCTGGATCGTGACAATGCTCGCTCTCGGCGAGCCTTTCGTGGCGAAGAACGTCTGGTTTTTGGACTGTGAGCATCGAATGCATTAGCAAATTGGAAAGCCGACATGTCTTTACCATTTGCCGTTTCCTGCAACCTGCCTCTGCTTGTCCCAATCGCCATCGGACTCTTCGTGCATAGTTCGTGGCCCTACACCGATCTGAGCTGGCTGTTCCGGATCAACGCTTTCGAGTGGAGGCAGCCGATCATCGGTGCCGTCTTCCATGATTTCGTCTCTTTGCCACCCATTAAGCTGTGGAGACGGTGCTTTCTCGGGCGCGCGACAGACTGGAGAGATGATCTCAGCCTTAAGCTTCTCTCTCACATACACGGCATAAGTTGGTGTGCCATGATTCCAGTTGTTGGCCTCGTAGATCTCGTTCAGCTTCGTGAACTCTTCCACTCGTTCGTCGTTGTAGCTACGCCAGATGTCCTTCTCAAAGTCGTGAATATACAGCCAGTAGTGACCATGTCCAGTGTTACCACGATGTATGAATACGGCAGCGAGGCGATACTTGATCTCTTTCATTTCGTCAAAGTTGCCACGGAGGCGCAACTCAAGCTCCCCGATCTGCTTGTCAAGGGCGGCGACCTTCTGTCTCTGCTCGAGGGCATCTTCCGAGAGAGCATCAGATAGGCGAGCATCGACACTGATGGCTCCGAGCCCGAGGGCTTCTAGATCTGCGTTCGAGTCTTCGATGGCACTCAGAAACTTTGCGCTTTCGGAAACCGCTGTCGGTCCATCCAGGTCAAGCGAAGTCTTGGTGAGGGACCGTTGTTCTTTTCTCAATGCATGTAGTTGTCTACGCCAACCCCAGCAAGCCTTTCGCCGTGGCAGGACTTGCTCATTGATGTGGTCGCAGTAACGGTCCAGATACAATTCATCAGGCAATTTCACGCAGGCGTCTGATTTGGTCGTACTTCCAGTCGCCGCATCCCAATTGATTCGAGAGATGTTGATCTGAAATAGAGGTGGTATCGTGGTCAAAGATTTGTACACTTCCACCCCCTCTGATCCGCTTGGTTGAAGATCGAATACGCCATCAAGCAGGTTGTAGATATCGGTCGTCTCGTTGGGCACCAGAGTCCTGATGCTGCTGTCAAACTCCGGGTCAGGCGTGCTCGCCTCGCCATCCTTGACAGATGTGCTCGCTAAAGTGATTTTGAAGATTTGCGCAAGATCGTCAATCTGCTCTCCTCGCGAATCCTCTCCTTTGGGTGTCATACCAGCCCTGAGACGAAACATGACGAGATCAAGAGCTTCGGTAACATCCTGCTGAAGTCGAGCTTTTTCCTGGGCCTTCTCCAGAGCCACTTCTCGCGTTGTGGAGAACCGACGTGGTGCAGGACGAGGTGGTAGTGGTGGCAGATCAGCTAGCTGCGGCTTCGGAGATGTTGGTGGTGTCAAAGTCGCCGCACTCTCTACCATATTCACATCTGTGTCGTTGTCATTGGCGGTATTCTGGTCATTCGAATTGCTGGTGCTATGTTGCCCCGTCGAATCGACCGATGCTGAGGCATCTACTTTATCGTCGATGGCGCTCGTGTCAGCCGAGCCGTTTGTGGAGGCCGCTGCTGTCACCTCCTTGCCGTTCAGGAGTGCGTACTCTGAGGGCTCCAGGAAGGTCCTGCACACCAGATCTTCCGACGGCTTGACGTGCTCTGCCGACGCCTTGATCATAAGCTCGAACAGTTCCTTCAAGTCGTGTGCAAACCGCTGACCACCGCTGATCTCGGTCTCTGAGATTACGCGCTGACCAACACGTTGTGATTTGTGTGCGCACACGGCAGTGTCAAGCTTATATTCGTCATAGTTGAGAACAATGTTCCGTAGTGGCTTGATGGAGAAGTAGTACTGAAGAAGACTGTTGAGATAGCAGGTGTTGCCGTGACTGGTGAGACCGACCGGCCAGGTCTCTGGGCTGTGCTTCGACGTTGGAATATTGCCGGCCAAAGCCTGCTCCAGCGTCTTGACGGCCTTTTCCGTTTGTTCACCGGGTCTGTCGATGCGAGCGCCATCAAACATCATCGGCAGCACAGTCTTGTCAATCTTCTCCCACTTGTCCTCAACGCCGATTATGCGCAGAGCCTCCTCAATGCCCATGGTGTTCTCGCCGTCCTTCAGCAACCACTCGTTCAGTGTATCGCTCTTGCGTTCTCGTGCAATAACAGAAATGGCTTTCTGAGCCAGTTCCATATTCTCGGCATTGTCTGTGGTCTAAAGGCAAGATCAGCGCGAGACGGGCAGGGATGTGTCTTGGCAGGGCAGGCGCACCTTTGTCGCTACCACAGCAAGCAGCGACTCATCTGGAGTGTCCTTTGTAACGCCATTGCCAAGCCAGGTCAGCGCATCATCGTATGTCTCCAAGGTCTGCTTGGAAGCATTGATAAGCCGTTGACTGCCTCGCGAGACGCCAATCTTGTAAAGTGCTTGCCGCGCTTCTTCCTGGGCTTGTTTGCCCAAGTCGCTTTGACGCGAGTGGAAGAGGTTGATAATGCGCTCATCGTCAACATGAGCTCCTGGTTCGATGTCCAAGTATCGATATGCTGCAGTGAGGTCGCGTCGGCTGATGAGGTCTTGGGAAGACATGGTGGCCACTTTGAGCTGCAGAGATTCGGAATTCGTGCGGCTGTCGGTGATGACTTGCAAGCACTCAAAGTAGTAGGGACGGCGCTCTGGGTCGCACATACACTGGCGATCAAAGCAGAATTCAATGAGCCTGTCGCCAAAGTCTGGCAGGGCGCCGAGAGATGCGTAGAATCTGCTTGCATTAGCTTCGCCAAACGCGGGTGGGAGAAAGGGGTGGCAAACGGCAACTCTTCGTTCGACACTTGCGCGCGTCGCAGCGAGGAATAACGCGTGTCTGCAAGTGCTTTTTAGCGTATTTCGCGCGTGTAACGACAGTAAATTCGCTTACATCCTTGGGCTGCGAGAACCCGTTCAATGTCTCTATCCGCGAGCGGCCAGCCTTCAGCGATTGCGGGATTGACCAAGGTGGGATTTTCCGAAGCCAGCTTGTAAATCAAGGCAAGAAGCTCAGCTTCACAGTCTTCCAACAGTTCGCGGAGGCTGCTACCATCCGCCTGCAGCCTATCACCAACGTCTGTTGGAGTGGGAAGGCACCATTGTGCTATCTCATCGCCTTTTGCTTCCTGTTATCAATCAGTATCGTCTCGACAAGCCATTTCACCCTGTCATCTCACCACATAGGTAAAGCCAAGCCGCTGAAGGAGCCCATAGCAATCCCTTCCATACAGGCCTAGAGAAGAAGGGTACAGCGTCAGCGTGTGTCTCCAAACGAAGTTGTCGACTCCAAGAGAAGAACGAAGGCGAAGGCCAGCCTACTGTGTCCGAGACAGCACGCCCAGCTGCTGTCACTCGATAGAATCATGCCCTGCAGCCTTCGATGGACTTACCAAATGCTTCTTGAAACCGTTTATTGTTCGCAGGAAATGATGTCCTCGTCCTGGCGGCTGCCAACGAATCTTTGATGTACCTCCGCAACCTGTTGAGAGCCTCCATTGGTGTAGCCTGTCGCAGGCCTTCTCTGTCCGGATCATCCTTCATAAGGGCCTCGTATCTCTGCTTCAAGTATTCTGTATTTGTCAAAAGATCCTTCTCTGCCGGCTGAAGTCTAGGCGTTCTGAATGTGATTTTCAGCTTTGCTCTGCACTCCGGCGCCGAGCATATCCAGCCATAAGCTATCTTATCCGAAAGCCTCACATCATCACTCGATGCCCTCTGAAAATGATGAAGGTCGTAGTCGGAGTTTGGGCACGGATTTGTTGCATGGGGAAGAGCAATATGCACATCTGCGTGTATCCTACACTTCTTGCAGACAACTGCTGCTTTATACTCGTCTCCCCCATCGGGTCTGAGGTCGAGCGGCGGTAGAGCGCTCTGCGTGCTCTTCAAGGTGTATTCATGTTTGCAGCTGCCTGGTTCAGGTGCAAGTTGCCTTCCTTCTCCTGCGGGCGGGGTGAAGTCCGCTAGGTAGTTCGAGTTCGACGAGCAGCGGATGGGATCGAAGAGGGAGAAGTCATGCTTGAGTTTCGGCGCTGTCTTTCCAGGGCCTTGAGCACCTTGGGACATCGAGTCGTGATTCGCGCCGAGGTGTGGCTGCTGTCGCTTTCGAGCGGTTGCAGTTTGGAAATGCTGGGTGGAAAGGTATCTAGATGGATCTGGTGCTCTGGAACTGATGTGGGCGTAATTGTGAGTTGGCAATCAAGGCAACAGAATTGCGTATAGTTTGGAACAATCATCACATGCGCGCGCGCATACGGAAGTCAGGTACTACGAAGCTGGAGGCTATTAGGTAAGCATCTTTGATGGACCTGCCAGTGAGTTTTCATGGATCCTCATCATCTCAGGCTGAGGCGTTAAACTTTGCGTCGGGGCCAACTTCACTTTACTGTACATCATCGTGCCAGCATTCGTGAATATCATCGCTAAGGAGGACACCGCTATACAGTACGAATGCAGGTCTGTAGGTCGCAGATAGCAGTCTAGTCCCGAGCATCGGACGTAGAGCGTGCGCATTGCTGCTTACGATATGACCTTTTCGTAGAGCTATTGAGATCTAGCCTCTTCTGCATTGCCGCAAATTCCTCGTTATCAGGCTCAAGGCTGTATATATGGTACCGTGCCTCGCAGACGGTTGGCGAAAAGATCAGTGTCCAGGTGAGACCTGGAGAAAAGCGATATCGTAACGCGACAGACTTCGATTCTATTCTTTTGGCACTGCCTGCAGACGGGTATCTCTGTGGGGGCCTTTCAGAAAGAAGATGAAAGTTGCAGCATTTCCTGGACATGGACCGGTACCCAGATCAACATTCTGCATCATTGCAAGACCGAGATGAGCAGCAACCCGTCCCAGAAACAATGTGATCGAAATGCCGAGGAGCTCGAATGGGGCTTGTATGACAATGTCGGACACGGGAGACGTCTCGCGGATCATCTGACTTTCTCCATGACCACCCATTACAGATACTGTGCGCTTTCGAGCACTCCACAACCAAAGCTGCATGGCCTCAGCCGTACTCGGCATAATGAGTGCACGCGCTGAATGAGTGCAAAGTACACATCCATAAGGCTTAGCATTGGGCTCACTGTGAAAATGCCACGGATAGCAAGCTTGATGCTTCGAGACCGTCCATCGAGAGCATAGTAGCGCAGACGGATGCGAGCAGACTTCGCTGGATTGGGAAAGGCTTGAGCAGGCGGACTGAGCATATTACATAGTATGCAGACGTGTGTAGATGACTTACTACCACTCTCCAATGAACTTCATTGTGCGATACGCAGTCACACGCTCATCGCTTCCATCGTTGATCAAGTGCTCAATGACGTCCAGTTCTGCAGTGTCGAAGTGCTAGCAGCCAAGGTCTGAATCGATAGTCAGGCCCATGTCGACCGCTGGCGTACTCGTTTCCCATGGCACCCAACAGGGCAACACCATTTGTGGGATATCTGAAGATCAATGTTAGTCGGCCAAGGACACGATCCGGAGAGGCGAGTGGTCAGTACTCCATCTCGGTTATAACCAGTTGCTCGACCAGGAATGAGATTCAATCGAGTCGGCATCAGCTCGAAACTGGCGCATTGATAATGAATGAATCCCTTCTCGTCTTGGCTTTTCACATTCATGTCGTGGACCTTCGTTAGTTCTAATTGTAGCCAGCAGCCATGATATGCTTGGGATATGTCTTTGGCCGTCTCATCAGGGATATACATCGGGCCATAGTTGGAGCTGAGCCGTTACCGCGGATGAGATGAGGATCTATGATCAGCTGCGTTTGCTGCTTATACAGCAGAGGAAGAATACGCGTATTGCAAACGGCATCAGCCTGGACTTGACGCAACACGCGCGGCGGACGCGCGCCTTCGCCCAAAGCATGTCGGTGAGAACAACATCGTTTGTCTGATGACAAGATGGAGATGTGGAAAAAAGGTCTCGCGCGTGTTCCAGACGCGATTGCTCGGTGTAATCGTCGTGTGAGAACTTGGAAGGAAGTAGAGATCTCGGTATCAAGCATACGTATACGGTACTCAAAATACGCCTGGCTGAGGTCCCTGGGCGCAGCAAATCTGCCAGTGAATTTTGATGGCTTTCACGACCTTCTCCTTTCCATAACAATCGACATCTCCTTCGAATTCCTGCAGAGGCCATCATCGCCACGTATGTAGTGGTAGGAGGCAGCCAGCATTGAAACGCCTCGAGCAGCGCTTCTTGAACTCCCGCGAACCTTCTGAGTGCGAGGCGCTTCACATTTCGGAGTTCGAGCTCGCAAGGCACCAACCCGCTTCAGCCAACGGTAGGCGATATCTCAGCCCGTCATTCCTCTCATCAACCAGATCTTCACCAAACAGGAAACATGCCGGCCACAATGCTGCATCTCCCTCGAGAGCTCTACCTCGAGATCATCGACTCCCTGAGCCCCAAAGACAGATCAACGCTCGCGCGTCTGAGCAAAGATCACTACCTCGCAGTTCAAGAGCCTCTGTATGCTCATACCTCGATCAGTGCCTGGCCGAGGCTGGTCGTTCTAGTTCGCACTCTCATGAAGACTCCTATCGTCTCCTCTCTGAGCGCTAAGCAGCGACTTAACTGGCATAAGCTTTCCGACCACCAACTACGCGAGCGCAGCATCAAGACCCTCGATATCACCCTCAAGAGCTCAGAAACTAGGAATGCCACCGGAGCTGATCTTGCGCGTATGGTCGGCGCGATATCGAGGGTCAGTCCTGGCGTGAAGATCCACCTGCAATTGCAAGGTCCGTGGTAAGTATCGATCGGTGTCTAGGGACTGGTGCCCTCCAATCCATCATTCTCGCGAGGAAAAGTCGGAGATTCGCGACTGTGCTCGAGAAGAATCGCAAGTCTTGCTAACACATTGACCCTTTCGGCATAGGTACACTCTGCTCACGCAGCTCCAGAATTTGTCCCTGCCGGATGTAGTTCGTCTTACAATGTATCTCGGCTACTACGTAAGCGAGGCAGAATGGCGACGCCAAGAGATAGATATCAATCTGATCCAAGAGACCAAAATCAATCTTTGGGATCTGTGCTTCGGCGGCAGCGTGTTGCCAGACCTCCGCCACATCGAAGCGGACACACATCATCACTCACCAGAAAAACGACCCACGACACTTGCTGAAGCTTCCAAACTCCAAAGAGCTCAGTATCGACTTCGTCGAGGTCAGTATCAAGTTAGACATTGAAGTTATACCACCAGCTAACTCTCGCATCCAGGTAGATTTTTCGATGTCGTAGCCAAGCCATTTGACGTACTTTACGGAATAAAGAAGATGGAAAGCATCAGCTTGAACTGCAACCACCTTCTAGAATCCTGCGTGCTGGAGTCGCTCTTCGACTCCAACATCATCCCGCAGAATCTGACGAAGCTCGAAATCACAAACTGCCCCTCCTTGCACCAGACAGTGGATCTTGCAGCATTAAGCATGCTACTCAATCGCGGTCTAAGATTGCTCCAACACCTCAAACTCCACATCCAAGGAATCAGAGGCTATATGGCAGAATCCGAAGAAACAAGTTACAAGAACCACATCAACAATATCCCTCACCACCACCTCTGCAACGTCGTACGCGAAGCAGGCCAGCAAATCAAACACTTAGACCTCGCCCTCCCTTTTGCATGCAAAAACATCTTCCTCCCCATCCCCCGCACCAAACGCGATCGCGTCGAACCAAGAACCCACCCACACATCCCCTACACTCCCCCATCAACTCTTCCCGACCGCCTCATTGCCGAAGGGTACCGTCACCGGCGCCTCATCGTCTGGCATGGCATTTGTCGCGAAAGTCATGATTGGAGAGAGATGAAAATTGCAGCTGATGATCAGGGCGAGCGTGTGAGTTGGGAGATTGTGAGTTCGGGAGATGATTGTGCCAGTTGGCATGTGGATGGATGTTTGGCGTTGGGGTATCAGGGTGGGGATGTTTTGGTGAGGGAGGGTGGGGTGGAGGGGTAGATTCTCTACTCTACTTTACTCTGCTCTACTCTACGACCAGATGGTGATGATCACGACGAGATACTTGTAATAAGAGACGGGAAAGCTTTTATACAAAATGAAACAAAATTCTCAACGGCCACAGAACGAAGCTTCGAGCGATGGGAGTTACCTTTTTTCCTCCTAAATCCTTATACTACTTCCCCCCTATCTTAGCGCGAGTCCGCTTCATCTTCCCCACGCTACCTACCTACCTAAATAATCCAAACTCCTCGCTCGTACTATTAATTTAAGTCTCCGAGTACTACACTTTCTCCAAAGCCCCAACTTTCCCCTTCTATTTCTTCTATTTCTGTAGATAACCACCTCCTTCCAAATTCACAACTATAATATACAGTCTTTAACGAATTTACCCTACCGAAACTTTCCCCTCTTCCTATAGAAGCCGAGAGCTTTATATATATATAAATAACTTCGGCTAGCCAAGTCGAGTAGTAGGTGAGTAGAGTTCGTAAGTAAGAAATTTGTCACTATAGTGTTGATTATTTCAGTAGAAAGAAGTGCCAAAAGGCTTATATATCTCACGAACGACACGCGGCCGGGGGGATCTGTGAGATGGAAGCACTTCATACACACACCTCAGCTCTCGCGGCGTGTCGTGTTCTTGCGAGGTTTCGGGATGCGGAGATGGAATGCTGTCTGCGGTAGTACCGACAACTGCTCATGTTCGACGTGTCTTTCCCATCCCCTCACACTCGACGATCCCCCTAACTAGAAATCTCAACCCTCTGCCGCAAAACCCCCCTCGCATCCTGCTCACTCAACGTCTCAAGACCCAACTGCTCAAGCGCGTGCCTCGCACTCTCATTATCCATAAAAACAAGGCGTTCGGCTTGGAAAAGACTCATTTTACTTCCGGACTCCTCATCTTCGTCCCAGGCGGAAGCGTCATCCCAGGCAGAAGCATCATCATCACCTGAGCTGCTTGCTTGTACACGAGGAATTTCGCCTCGCACTGGTAGATTAAGTAGAGTTACGGCTTCTAGAAGTCTTTGCATGCCGATTTGGGATTGATTTGGTCCGACGTATCGGTCGATGGTTGAGCAAAGGGCGCGGAGATCGGTGGTGAGTTGCGTTGCACCTGCGGTGGAGAAGTGACTTTTTCCATGTAAGACGTAGCGGAAAAGGTAATCGTCGATAGCGTGGCAGATGTTTCTTGCGACTCGGCGGAGGGGTGCTTTGCCGAGGGCTTTCCGGAGAAAGGCAAAGTATTCTGATAGGAGGTTGAGGGTAGGGTCGAGCTCGGCAGAGACTGCATCGCTGTTGGGGGAGGAGGATAATGAGGCCCAGGTATTGAGGGCAGAGAATGGCTTCAGCACATTCTGCACATCGTACTTGATCGCGTCGACGAGAACTTTCTCGGCTCGGGTGCGCAGCCGGCGGTAGCTGTTGGCTGTTTCGTCAAACAGTGCGCCTTCCAATGCGCCGTCGGTTTCAGAGCCGAGTGCAGAACTGGTCTTTTGTTGGATCTCTTGCCAATTGCCGAGTGGTCCGACTCCGCTGTCACGGTTCTTGTGGCGATAGTCCAGCTCGGCCCAGAGTTCGATGAAGAAGACATCGTCGCTCCAGTCTCGCATGGCTCGCTCGAGGTAATCGGCGGAACCAAATATTCGGCAGATCCGATCGAGGCCCTTGACACCTTGGAACTGTGCAAGTTCTTCCTTGGTCAAGCCAGTATGCACCGCTCGGCCAATTGTTGATGTGAGGCTCAGGTATGCATCGAGAGCATCTTGGAGCCTTTGATGGTATGTGTCGAAGATCTTGATCTGAATATCGATCAGAAAGTCGATGCGCTGAGTGTAGCTCGAAAGGTCGCGATAGCGTTCGGTGATGGTCTCGAGAAGATCATTCAGGCGGAGAGCAGCCTTGCTTGGTTTCGTGGTGTCTGCAGCGGTGCCATCGAAATCGATCTCGCCAGCATCGGGAGCTTCGAGAATGGCTTGGTAGCGGGAAAGAGCAAAGTCACGCTCGGCAGCAAGCCATTGCGGGAAGTAGCCGCGAGTGTCGAGGAGATAGAAAGACAGTCCTGACCAGTTTACGCTTGGCGAAGACGGCGCGTAAGAGTACGAGTCCTTGAGTACATTGTCGAAGCTAATTACTTCCTGGACGAGGTGGCTGAGTAGGGCAGGTTGGGAGGCTACCTGGTTCGCCACGGAATCAAGCTTCTTCCTGACCATTGGCAGGAGCGCAGTGATGAACGCAGAAGTAGCATCAATATATGCAGGAGTGAAGGCGAGATGGGATTTTCTGAAATGCTTCAGCAAGATGGGCTGGATGTTGTCCTGCACAAAGTCTGAGTACTGAGCAACCAAGTCGGTGATGTGGTTGAGGAAGTATTCCGGCTTGTCGAGTCGATTTGTTGGCTTGTTGCCAGAAAAGTGGTAGTCGAAGCGTTGTTGTAATGGGTGCACCTAAACGTGATATTAGTATTTGACTTGATGTTGGGATGGACGAGACGGAGGAAGAGAAGATCCTACCAAGACTTCAAATGGCAGCAAAGGTGATGGGTCAGTGCTTCGGTCTTTGCCAAGGTTCTGTTCTTCTGCTTCCAGATCTCTCTTCTGCAGATCTAATAGTCGGCCAATGTTGATCGCCCAGTCCTTCTGCAACGCCGCTGGGACAATTCCAGTAGCTTTTGGCCAATTCAGCTTATCTTTCTGCAGCATCCTCTCGAGGTTCTGCGACAAGGCTCGCCGTATCGTCTCTCCAAGCCCTTCTACAACACGATTGATGTGATGGAGAAGATGCGGGGCAGCACCTTCGGCAGCATCTTGCAAAGGTTTCAGACTTGCCGTGAGCTGTTGAAGCCTCTGATATGGTATTAAAGCAGCATCGTCGTCCTTTCCCAGTTTCGATTCAGACTCTTGTCTCAAGGCATCCACCTCTTTCAACAGCTCGACATATTCTGTCGCAACTTCCAACTTCCGCGAGCGTTCCATACTCTCGTCGAGCTTTTGCACCGCATCGTCGCTTGTTTCGGACTGGGTCACCATGAGCAGTCTTCGATCGATGTCCTCCTGTTCAGCGTCGAAGTCGCGGGCTTTGCGCTCGATCTCGTGTGCGTGTTGCTGTGCTTCGTTTTGAGCTTCGGCATGTTCTCGTCGAGCATCATCGAGCTGCGAGTGTCAGGCGTTGTGTTCATGATGGATACATCCTACACACCTGTTTCTTGAGGAGGGTCTGCTGTTCGTGGACATTTGCTAGGAGGGAGTCTAGCGATTCGAGATCTGCAGCGGACTGTAGTTTATCGTCGAGATAGTCCTGCACTCTCGGATCCATTTTGTGTGCAGACCTCCACACGCAGAACAATATTGTAGACAATGCTTTCCGCTCCAGGAATGGCGAACTCGAATGCTCTTGCCAGATGTTCATGGTGAATCTGAAGAACAGGGAAGCAGCGGTCTCGGCTGTGGGGTTCCGATTGGCTCGACAAGCGAGCGGCACAAGGATGCTGTGAAAGCGACACGTCAGGTCAAGCTTCACGCTTCCCTTCACGCTTCGACGCGCTTTCAGACATGCCATGCTCAGTCATCACAATCATTCTGTGAGGGCGGCGGTGTGCATCAAGCCGTCCCCATGCAGGCAGCGCGTCGACAACGACATGCGAGGCTGCATGAAGTTGAGATGCATCCACGTATAGCGAAGGCTGATTGAATCGGGCAGAAGCGTAGGCGCACAAGCCAGACTTGTTGGCGTTACACAAACGACAGCGACAGGCGGCCGTTTGTGTGTGGGGTACGGGGCGGGGCGGGGCGGGGCGGAGGTCCGCTGAGTGCTTCCCATCTCATTCTCGTGCTTCAACTCCGCCCGCCCTCGCCCTCCATCGCGCTCAGCCAGACTTGTCCATACAACGGAGTCGACGCCGCTCCCCACCAGCGCGGCGCCATCGACAGCCAGTGCCATGGACGTCTTCTGCTCGCGCCTCCCCCACCACATCCTTCACGCTCAGCTCCAGCGACTCTTTGCAGGACCGCTCAATGATTGTGGCGTCTACGACTTCCACATAGAGAAGTTGCCCAACAAGGGCCTTGCCATCATCACCATCCTCGACGTGAATGCCGGCCAGGTTTTCTTGAGCCGTGAGTACACCGTCTCTCATCGCTGCGAAGAGCCATCGACCCAGCTCCAACGACTTCATCGTGGAAAACATGCATCCGCTAACCCACATATCCAGGCTATGGCGTTCCGAATGCCTCCCCCCACAACCAAATGGCCCTCATGCGCATCAGCTACGCTGGCAAATTTGTTCGACTGGAGAGAAGCAATCGCGAGCCGACCGATCTGGCAATCCAATCTCTGCGCTATATGGCAAATGAACGCACCAGAGCCCGTCTGGTCGGCGCAGCCACTCAGCGATCCAGGCCCAACGACCGTCAGGCCTCCGAATTCCGCGTGAACATCCTCCAATGCGGCTCATTCGACTACCCGAAACACGCCCAACTCAGGAGCGACGCAAACCTCCTTTTCCTCCCCCACTTCACCGACCCTCGCCAAGGTACCATCCACTTCGGACAGAAGCAAGCCATCGCCATTCTTGGTCCAGAAGGAGGCGACCAGTTGCGCTTGGATCTGCCATACAACGACTGCATCGACATCGTCCTCGGCACCTACGAAGAGCCCTCGATTACATTTGCATTGGCGCTGCCACCAAAGATGTACGAGATCAACAAGCTTGCAGCCTCTATTCTTGCACTCAGCCTTGGCCCGAAGGATGCTGCCAAAATCCCGCAGTCCAAGAAGACTCGCATTCCCGCCATCAACAGTCAGCATGCGAAGATCGCAGGGAATTGCTTCGTCTATCGACTGCACGTGAGCGACCATAGGCAGCTGTCGAACATCAACAGCATTTTATCTCGCCACAAGAAGTCATGTTCAGTCCTCTCGGTCAAGACTCGGACCGAGTTCCCTCAAGAACCTATTGAAAACACCTTCACACGCCTCAACTACGAGCTCAGCGACACGAATCGCTTCGGTGCAAAGCCATTCAAACTGCGCTACCAGGTGGACAGGCTCGCAAGAAATGGCTTCCTCCCTCCCCAAAAGGTCATATCTCTGCTGCCTAAGATCTCTGAGCTCCTCACCTCGTACGGTCTGGAAGCCACTCTCTCCGGACTTCGCCGCTTCAGTCGAAACACCCCTTACCCTGGTCCCACGGTTGAGTCAGTCGAATTCACGATCGCCACTCTTGAGCAGAGATTGCATGAGTTCGTTGCCCTCTACGATGACCACGCGCCAGACAACCCCTTCGAGCTGGCTAAGCGTCATGTGCACATCAACTTGATTCACAAAGTCATCGTCACTCCAGCTGGCATACGTCTCGAAGGTCCTGAGCCTGAGCCGACCAACCGCGTGCTCCGCAAATATGCCGAGAACATTGACGATTTCGTGCGAGTGGTCTTCCAGGACGAGCATGGTGGACCAGTGCGCTACGATCCCCGAACCGATCTCGCCCGCATTTACCACGAGCGCTTTAGGAACGTGCTCGATACATCCATAGTCATCTGTGGTCGTGGATTCTCATTCCTTGGTTTCTCGCACTCTTCCCTGCGCTCTCAATCTTGCTGGTTCATGGCTCCATTTGTCAATCGCAACGGTCGACTGATCTTCGCCGAGAAGGTACTCAAAGGTCTTGGTGACTTCAGCAGTATTCGTACCCCTGCGAAATGCGCTGCTAGGATAGGTCAGAACTTCACCGATACCAACGCCACCGTTCATCTCGAGCCAGACCAAGTATTCGACCTTCAAGTCATTGAGCGCAACGGGAGGGACTTCTCCGACGGCGTGGGCACTATTTCTGAAGCGCTTTTGCGCGAAGTTTGGCGTAGGTACGGAACTAAGAAGATGCTGAAGCCAACAGTCCTCCAAATCCGCTTCCAAGGAGCCAAGGGTATGGTGAGTATAATCACGACATAACTTGAGTCGAATTACGAATACCAAGCATGATTGCAATGCGTTCACTGAAACATGCTAACCTTGTGTCTTGCTCTTAGGTATCCTTAGATCCTCGCCTCCCAGGCAAGGCGCTCATGCTGCGCGCGAATATGCGCAAATACGACACTGAGACTTCTTGGGTGCTGGAGATCTGCGGCGCTGGCTTCAAGCCGCTGCCTATGGTGCTGAACCAGCAGTTTATCAAGATTTTTGAAGACTTGGGCATTCCGATGAGCGTGTTCCTCGACCTCCAGCGTTCCGCCATGAAGCATCTTCGCCAGATGACTGCCCTCTCAGTGAATTCGGCCAAGCTCTTAGAGGACTCAGGTATTGCAAGAGCGACAGGCATGCCTCGGCTTATAAGAGATCTGGCCCAGATCGGCTTCGACTATCACGAGGACCACTTCCTGTATTCGATCGTGGAGATGGCGGTTGTGACGCAGCTTCGCGACATCAAGTATCGTGCACGCATCCCCGTCGAAGCGGGCGTAACGCTATACGGCATCATGGACGAGACAGGCTATCTGAAGGAGGGCCAGATCTTTGTCATCACCGAAAAGGCTCCTGAGGGTGGCAAGCACATTCTCATCAAGGATAAAGTGGTCATCACACGATCGCCGGCAATGCATCCTGGTGACATACAAGTGGTTGATGCTGTCGATGTGCCTCCGAACTCCCTACTGCGGAGGCTGTCCAATGTGGTGGTGTTCAGTAAGTGGGGAGATCGTGACTTGCCCAGCAAGCTGAGCGGAGGGGACCTTGACGGCGATATCTACAATATCATCTGGCACGAAGGCATGGTTCCGAGGACTACCTATACCGCTGCAGACTATCCGCGTGTCAGCCCATTGGTCCTAGATCGCGAAGTGACGATCAAAGACATGTCCGATTTTTTCGTCACATTCATGGTGAGCAATCAACTTGTCAATGAAGCACGGTCAGACTAATACTCTTTACAGGAAACCGACTTGCTGGGCATGATCTGTACGACCCACAAGCAGCTGGCAGATCAGCGAGAGGCTGGCTCACTTGACCCGGACTGCCTCACGCTAGCTGGTCTGGCATCTACAGCCGTGGACTATTCCAAGACTGGCATCTCTGTCAAACACACGCAAATCCCCAGAAATGACAAACACATATTTCGACCCGATTTTATGTCTCCCACCCCACGGGTCGTTGTGTCTAGCGAAGGCTTGGCCGATCTAGAAAAGGAGGAAGAGGTAGACGATGATGCCTTTGAAGGTCTTGACTCCGAGCGTCGATCATATCGGTACTACCCGTCTGAAAAGACACTTGGTCACCTCTACCGCGACATCGATGAAAACCAATTTCTGCGGACAATGTAAGTCGTCCTTCCTTATGACTGCATAGTTCTGCTTCATGACTGCATAATTCTGCCTCATGGCTGCATATTCTGCCCCATGACTGCAGCTATTAATCTCAGCCTACGACACACAACTCCGCCACAGACAGCACTCTGATCTTTGGCATCGCCTTGAAAGACACATGCTGACACTTCGCTTTTAGGCAGCAGCAGTATCGCGCAATTGCACCTCGATCTAAGACACAGGACCTAACGACACGACTCTTGGCGTACCTGAAGCAGAATGCAGTCAACGTCTTCTGGGACCAACACACTGCTCTAGCTTCCGACATCCGCTCCAGTTTCGAGGACAGTCTCGCCGACCTCCTCTACGAATACGAGCCCACACCTCACCACCCTCTGAGCGAGACAGAAGCCTTCTCCGGCCAAATTCTCGGTCGTCAAAGCGGTCCTCAAGGCAAGCCTCTGCGCGAACTCGCCAAGACCATGACCGAGCGCTTCGAAATGGTCATGGAGCACACTCGCATGCGCATCCGTTTTGGCGATGCAGTCTACGAAACTCAAGACATCGACGACCTCCACGACCCTCGCTACCACGATCGCGATGTCGAAGCCCTGCCCCGCGCCATCGCTTGCTTGCATGTGGCGCTCAACGAGGAAGGCTATCACGATCGTAAGATTGGGGAACTGAAGAGTTTCAAGTATGTTGCGGCTCAGATTGCTTTGGAGGAGTTGCCTAAGATTTTCCGTGGCTTTCGGAACCTGCCGATTGGCGTTTGAGGAGTTTCTATTGTCAGTTTGAGACAAGCGATGAAAAATAGGATGGATTTGTATAGATTAGAATCGCATCCAAGTGCGTGTGAGAGAGCTCGAGGTGCGGGCACAGACCTAGACCTAGACACAAGGAACGAACAAATGAATAGGCATTGCATTTTATTATAGAACTTCTCCTTCTAGATTTATCCCCGTAAGAGCTAGTATCTAGACTAGATTCTTTTCTATTTCCCGTTTCCTACTACCCTTATTCTATTTCTACTTTACTAGGCTTATTTCGTAATTAAGGCTCGATCTACTCCTACTTACTCCTTAGTACTTATTATAGTAGCTACCTAGAAAGTACCGACAAGTCCTATAAGCTAGCTACTATACTATAAAGTAATATCGGATTTAAGTTGCCTTAGTAGTAGAGGCCCCTAGCGAAGTAGATCGCCTAGTTAGCCGCCTATTTAGCCGTATAACGTAATATCTTAGGGACTCCTATAGAGGCCGTATATAGTAGAACAATACGTTATATATTAATATATAAATAATAGGACTATACTAAACTACGCGTACGTATATACGGACGATAGTAAGCGAGATATATAGAGTCGTAGGATAGATCCGAGTAGTAAGAAGTGTTTTAAGTAAGCAACGCGTATATAGATACTAGATATAAGACTTAATAGGTTCGATAAAGAGCTAAGTCTATCTACGTAAATCCGAATGGTTTTGTACGGTGCGCTAAGCGCTAAGTAGTAGGTTAGAGTCGCGTAGGCCGAATACCGAATACCTAAGGCTAGCGCTTTCTACCTAGGGCGTAGCCCTTTATATTACCCCCGTCCTCCTCCCTTTCTTTAGTAGGGATAGAGAGCCCTTTATAGTTTCTATCGCTATTACTTTATCCGTTAGATCTGTACCTATCTAAGCTTCCCTAAAGTAACGCGCTCGTAGTTTCCTCTTTTACGATCGAGGTTTCCGCTACTTTCCGGTCGGGGTTGCCGTACCTAGGGTTTTAACGACTATAACTTTCTTCGCGACTGCTAAACCGCGCTCTTTTACCTGTTTACCGCCTTCTAGAACGCGCCGTAACTGCGCTTTTAAACGCTTTACTTATAATCGCGCTTTCCTTTACTTTCGCGACTTTTACTTCGGCGCCGCTTTCTAGGAGTATTAATATTTCCCTCTTCTTCTTCTTCTTCTTCTTTTCTTTATATATACTTCTACTACTACTACTACTACTAATACTACAAGTCCCTCCCCTTCCTCCTTAGTTCCCTTTATAAAATTAACTTGTTCTAGACAGCTCGTCGAATTTACTATATTAGTTGCTATAACTCTAGCGAAGACTACGCCGACTAATCTATAAGGTTCCCGTCCGATTTATCGTAGGGTCCGCTAACTTTTCTTAAGCCCGCTAGCTTAAGGGCTTACGCTAATTGCGCTCGTAAGAGAATTGCTTACGCCCTACTATAAGTTATCGCGATTCCCGTACCGAATCTCTCGCTAACTATTTAGTCCTTAAATGGCCTACGTAGCCTACGCTAGCTATACCCGCGCGACCCGCGCTAATATCGCCGAGAAGCACTCCGAGCTTCTTAAGGTTCTTAAGGTATAGAAAGCTCTTAAGTCTCTCTAGCCGTAGGGGTTATTATCTAGGTAAGATTCCCCGTTTCCCTCGATAAAACCCTCGCTAACCGTTTGTTTTAGCGCTATCGCCTCGGAGGTAACGAACACCGTCGCTAATATCGTAGCTTAATAGACTTAGACGTAAGTTCCTCGCTACCCTTCGACTTTCTCTCGCTAACCTCTCTTTTTTAGTAGCGTTCCGACTACCCTCCGCCTTAGTAATAATCGTCTAGGTCCGCTAGAGGAGTAAAGGTTTCCGTAGGTTTTCTAGTAGGCTCTAGGTAGTTTCGGATATATTATTATTATTTTTGTTATAGTCCTAAGGTAACCTTCTAATTTCGGGCAGAGACCCGACACTTACTTATAAATACCTAAATAAAATTCTTCTTAATTCTAAATTATGTTTCTCTTCTCTAGTATTCTAGTAAACCTAAGTCTAATAAGTTGGTAAGAAAATCTAAACTCTAGAAGTTAGTAAAAGTCCCTAGAATCTATAAACCCGTTACTCCGCGGAAAAAAAAAACTCTAGGTTGCCGTATTATTTCTTCCGTTTTCCTCTCTTCTTCTAATCTCCTAGAGGCCCGTCGTTCTCCTCGATTTGTCTATATTTCGCTTCGAAGTCGTCTAGCGCGGAGGCATCCGCGATATAGTCTAGGGGTTCCTACGTAGGTTTATAGTACCCGCTCTATTTTGCGAGTGCTTCTCGCCCTCGGCCTTGCTTCTTTTTCTAGATATATAGGATTTCTTCGACCTACTACTCTTTATACGTCTCGAATAAGATAGGGTCCGGCTATTCGTCGTCGGTTACCTACCCTAGAAGGGGGTCCCGGCTCGTAAGTCTTAGAAGGTCGGTATAGTATACTAGATAAATATTGCTAGGTATCCCCGAGAGTTATACTAAGATAGGCGATAATACCTCTTCTACCGTATACTTAGCGTACTTCGAGTCGAGGCTCTTCTTTAGTCTACCGGTCTAGTAATTCCTTAGGTCGAGCTAGACCTTGTCTCCGATACGATATACCGGCGCTAGAGTTCTAGTCTTGTTCGCGCTATCCTCTTATTTCTATACGGCTTCCGCTATTTGTACTTAGTACAGATCTAAGATCTTCTTAATCTTGTCTACGAACTCCTCCGCCCGTTTCGCTATAGTTAGCCGTCTATCGATAGCTAGGTCCTCTTCTAACGTAACGAGGGAGGTAGATTCGTAACCGTAAGTCGCGAAGAAAGAGCTTATTCCTAACCTAGCTTAGTGTCTCCCGTTAAACGCTAGTTCTACTATAGGAAGCTATTAGTTCTAATCGGACTATATCTAGTTAATATAGTTCCGTAGGTAAGCTTATATATCTTAGTTTGCGCGCTCCGGACCCCCGTCGGTTTGTAGGTAGTAGGCGGAGCTTAACCTCTACTTTACGCCGAGTAGTCGATATATCTCCCTCTAGAAAGTACTTATCTAATTCGTAACTCTATCGCTAGTAATAGTACGAGGCAGTCTGTAATACCTAACCTAGTATTTTAGAAATAAAACCGCGTATTCCTCTACTTTTATAGAGGGAGTACCGATAAGCGCGATCTACTTACTAAGGCGGTCTTTAATTACCTATAGATACCGGTTCCTATCTAACTCCGGTAGGTTAGTTATAAAGTCTATCGAGATTTCCTAGAAGAAACGGTCGGGTACTAGTAGTAGTTTTAGGAGGCCGTGTTTATATTCCCTCTATACCTTATTACGTCTATAATAGTTGTAGTTCTATAGGAATTGCCGTACCTGCTTCGACTATAGCGGCTAGTAAAAGTCGCGACCTAGTATAGAAGTAGTAGAATCCCGGCTAGGGTAGCCGTAGAGCGGCGAGTCGTAGATCGACTAGATAATCTTCGTATATAGTATATCCTACTATAGTTCCTCGGCCCCTATATCTTTATATTCGGTTTCCGTCGTCGCTAGGGCTCCTAGAACCTAGAGCTTACCGCGGTAGCGAAGGAACCCTTTAGGATCTATTATATAATCCCCGATCTAAATTTTTGCTTTAATTTCTAGTTATAATGTTCTATATCCCTTACGGACTTTCTATACTACCGTCTAGTATACCGTATCTTTCTCGATAATACTCTTCTATATATCGTTTATCTCTAGGTCCTAGAATAGTTTAGCGCTTTCCGGTAAAGGCTACGCGGGCTCCGTTTCGTTCGCGAGTAGGGATAACGGGCTCGCCTTTATTATACGTAGGAAGCTACAAATAGTAGTACTAGAAATCTAGACGTTTTCTAGCTAGTTTAGAGAGAGGTCCGGCTCTAAGAATCTCCGGAACCTCGAAAGCTTGTCGTCTTAGCCTAACGTGTCTTATTCTCTCTTCGATAAGGTATCCGGTAGGATAGCTTCGATTCCCGGCCGGTAGACTAGGGTAAACTAGTACTTCGCTAGTTCTTCCTACTATCGGATCTGTCTTTCGGATAGTGTTAGGACTAAAGAGGTTATACGTGATTAGTATGTAACCGGGCTCGAGTAAAGCTAGGGTCTCGATGCCTTAGGTAGGGCTTAGCGCTTAGTAGTAGGCTAACTAGCCTACCTTCCTCCTTCTCCTCCTAGTTCTCTATCGAATACTACCTATACCTACTACTACGCTATCTACCTACTAACATAACCCTTGTTACAGATAGCTAGCGCTTTACTATAAAGTATTCTAGGTTCTTATAGTCCGTCTAAATTATAAAAGGGCTATATAATTTTAGCTCGGAGTCCTAAAACTTAATACTAGATACGACTACGAGCATTTCCTTATCGTAGATATCGTAATTAATCTCCGCTTTATTTAGTTTCTTCGAAAAGAAGCCTACCGGTCGGCGGATCCCTACCTTTTCTTAGATAAGGGCGCCCCTAATCGCGAACCCGCTATAATCCGTCTTAAGGAAAGTAGGAAGGGACGGGTCCTACTAGGTAAGTACTAGGGCGCGGTAGAACTTGTCCTTTAGCGTCTCGAACGCTTTGTCCTATTCTTCTCCCTAGGAGAACGGGGTTCCCTTACCGGTAAGCGCGGTTAATAGTGTAGAGATCTTAGAATAGTTCGGTACGAATATACGGTAGTAGTTCGTAAATCCTAAGAAACGACGAACTTCCTTTTAGGTCTTAGGTGCTACCTATTTTTATACGGCTTCTACCTTTTCGGGGTCGGCTAATACTCCTCCTCCGTCGGCGTAGACGATAAATCCTAGGTACTTAATCTTTTTCTAGGCGAATTCGCTCTTTTTAATATCGAGGTAAAGGCCTCCGTCCTAAAGCTTCTTAAGAACCGCCCTTACCTTATAGAAATAGTCTTCCCTCGACCCGCTCGAGTAGATAACTACGTTGTCTATACATACTAATACGAAGTCGTCTAGATACTCCTATAGGAGAGTGTTAATATACCGTTAAAATATAGCCGGGGCTCCGGACAAACTAAACGGGTATACTAGCTATTCGAACGAGCCTAGCCTAGTCCGGAAGGCCGTC